AAAACTCCCTTCCAGTTTAGAACTACTGGTCTACCATAATCTGCTGCTTGTCCTCTTTACCCTAAGTAATTCTCAGGGTTGTCCACAGTAAGCCAGTGGTAGAACCTGAAGCAGAGCCCAGGAATCCTTGGGCCAAAGAGAAAGAATGGAACTTGGTATCTCCAAGGGAGCAATGGATTAACAGTAAAGTTACGAAAACGGAATGTGGTACCCTTTGGGATGTCAGGCTGGCATCCTCGCTGGGTCACTCCCCTCTAATGGTAAATCAAGGAGCAGCCTCCAGGGAAGGTGATTCCCTTTACTTCCTGTGAAGCTCCAGGAACCTAGTTTTTTTTGTTTTTCTTTTTTTTTCAAGATTTTATTTATTTGACAGAGAGAGACACAGCGAGAGAGGGATCACAAGCAGGGGGAATGGGAGAGGGAGAAGCAGGCTCCCCGTGGAGCAGGGAGCCCGATGTGGGGCTCCATCCCAGGACCCTGGGATCATGACCTGAGCCGAAGGCAGACGCTCAACGACTGAGCCACCCAGGTGCCCTGAGGAACCTAGTTTTTGCCAAGGGGCTGGCAAGAATTTCTCTTGATCATGAGCTCCAAACAGCCTTGGAATTGCTGGACTTAATTTGGATTAAAATCCAAATCAGCAAGGTTGGGAATGTAGTTGGGCCTAGGGAACCCTAGAGAGTCAGGGGAGAATGCTGCCCCACCCCCAACAAGGCTAGTTAGTCCATTACCATTGAGATTCTTTAGGGTCTACAGTCGAGGGTAGAACCATCTTGCTAGTGCAAAATACTTATGACTAGATACAGAGGTGTATTATTCTTGGGCGAGGATCCATTGTTTTCATTACACACTCAGAGTTAGTGACCAAAAACAATTTAGTAACCACTCCTTAAGAGTTCAGCATGGTAGCAAAGATAAAGGGGAATGTAAACACCATCCCTGCCACTTCCTAACTGAGTAATTTTCTTTCCTGAGACTCAAATTTCTCATCTCTAAAATGGGGATAAAAACAACTCACAGTGGTTGGGACAACAAAATGAGGTAATATAGGTAAATATATGCAAATAATGATAATACATGTAATATATGCATTGTGGTATTAATGAGATACATGTAATGTGAGAATGTATTCAGAGAGATGTAATAACACATGTATTACTGAATTTTTTAAGGGGGTACCTGGCTGGCTCAGTTGGAAGAGAATGCAACTTGATCTCGGGTTGTGAGTTTGAGCCCCACGTTGGGTGTGGAGATTACTTTAAAGAAATTAAATCTTTTTAAAAATTTTCTTTAATATAGCTATTACTATTTGCAATCAGAAGCCTCAAAACCCCAGTCCAAGTTCTGATTTTTCCTTTCAGTCCAGGAGTTATGACCTGGATGGGAACTCTTCATCTATCCCTAGCATTGAGCCCAGGACAAAAGGCTGGGCCATGTAGGGGAAGGACCGCTCCTGAGGGACACAGAACTTTGGGGAAGGGGAAAAAGATCTTCATGATTTCTCTTTTTAGAGTTGAGGCGCAGCAGTGACCTGAACTCTAGGATACTTGCTGGCCTCTGTCCTTGGGGGAGGACACTTGCCTAGTTGCCATGAGCAAGGTGCTACCAAACTTTGTTGCACTAAGAGATGGCTCAATGCAGGGCAGTCCAGTGCTGTGGAGGAGAGAGAGGCTTGGATCCAAATTCCTGTAGGAAGACCGCTTAGTTGTGTCATCCATCCCCAGAGGACATGGGAGAGGCTCCAGAAGGCACACTCTTGCCCTCTAGCCAAGCGGCCAGAAAAGCAGCCAGGTGTTGCCTTGAAAAAGTCAGTAAACACTGGACTAAGTAATGCCAACTTATAACACTGCTGCTGGCCTCTCCTTGGCCCTTCCTCTTCCCAGCTTAGAGGCTTCTTGGAGCTCCCTTGGAAGGTGGTGAGCTGGTCCTTTCAGCAGCTACCGTGCTCTACGTGCTCTACGTCCCTTTGGGCCTTGACTTGCAGATTTCTTGTGCAAGCCTGGCTCAGCCCTTTGGAAAGAAAAACAGGCATATCTGAGGAGGAGGAGAAGCTGAAACTCTAGAGATCCATGGCCAGGGGAAGGACAGCTGGCTACCACGTCCTCATTTCTGCCCTGTTCACCATGTCTGCAGCACTCACTGAATGTCAGTTCCTAGAGATACAAGATTGGTGCTCCATGTTTTCTGCCCTAGAGTATGTCGCACGTAGTAGCTAGACAGATGAGTAACCAAACCAGTAAAATAAAAAGTAGTATGTGCTACAATAAAGGTATGAATTATACAAGGATGGAGTAAATTAAATGACTAATAGTAATAATAAGAATACACCTGGAGGTGCTACGGCTTGGCAGAGAAAGTAGTATTTCAGCCTGCCTTGAAGATGAGTAGGAATAATAAGAGTTAATAATTATTGAACATTTACTCTGACCAGGTATTGTGCACATTCATTATCACATTATCTCTCTTTTTTAAAAAGATCCATTTATTTACTTTAGAGAGAGCACGTGAGTTGGGGGGAGGGGCGGAGGGAAAGGGAGGAAGAATGCTGAAGAAGACTTCCCGCTGAGTGTGGAGCCCGACGTGGGGATCGATCCCAGGACCCCAAGATCATGACCTGAGCCAAAATCAAAAGCTGGCCGCTTAACCAACTGAGCCACCCAGGCGCCCCACATTAGCTCTTCTTTATAGCTACTTCCGTTTTACCAATATTACTGATGAGGAATAGAGGCTCAGAGTTTCAATAACTAGGATTTCCCCTGGTAGAGTAGAGGGAAAGAGTATTCCAGGTAGAGAAAGTAAGAGCAAAGGCCTGGAGGAGAGACAGTACATGGGCAAGTGGGATGCCAATTATTTGGACAGTGCTTGCCACTCTACAAAGCACTTGTGGAATTGTCACACTTAATCCTCAGAAAAACCCTAAGAGGTAAGAATTAGCACCATTCTATGGATGCAGAAATAGGCTCAAAGAGGCTATTTGTAGAGTGGTACAGATCAAAAGCTGGAAACTCTTCTGGATCCAAGGTAAGTGTTTTATGTCCGCTGAAAACAATAGTCCAGTAGTAAGGGGAGGACCACACGGAGGATTCCTCTCCCCCATGGGCCATCTTTGGGCCTCTGCAGACTAGAGCCATGGAGGAGCAATGGAACAGTGTTCTTTGTGTGAGGTTATCAGTGAATTGACTTTTGACCACCTTACTAAATAAATAATACCCAAACAAAATTCCAGAGTCCTTTAAAAATGAATATAACCTACTCTGAATAGGCAATAGATGCACAGTACAATATTAAAAAGGTACACATACATACACACCCTTTGGCCCACCTTGTCAGCGATCAAACCATCCAGAGGCAACCACTATTACCAGTTTTTTGTGTATCCTTTCACTGATATTCCGGTATCCTCATTATAGAGTGATAGAACGCTATACCAACAAAACATGAAATCTATATAAAACATTGTGTTGATTCATTTTACTTCATGTTAAGCACCTCAACTGTATCAGGCCCTCTGCTGGATTCACAGAAAGTACATGCTCAAGAGCCCCAAGTGTGTGTGTGTGTGTGTCTGTGTGTTGTGGGATAGGGGTTGGGAGCCACAGGTAATGAAGGACCACATGAAGTAAAATTCGGTAAGTGTGGGAGAGCTCCAGGCTGTGACAGCATCACACAGTGGTCAGAACTTTTTCTCTGGAGTCAGACAGATTTGGCTTACAGCCCCAAATGTTGCTTGCACTCAGTGTGACCCGGGTTAGCTTCTGTTTTTCCATCTGGCAGAATGGACTAATAATAGGGTCGTTGAAAGGAATAAATAAGACAACGTATACAAAGTGTTTGGCACATATTAAGCACTCAATGAATGTCAGCTAAAGAAACAAATTTTTAGCCTCAATAAGTGTTGGCTATTACCCATTCAAGTCCATGGTCCCTTATTGGAAAATTCAGGAAGCAGTGAAAAATGGACTTTTCTTCTAAAAACCAGTTTGGGCAGCAAAATATAACACAGAGTGAGGTTATTTGACGTAGTTTGAATATTCATAAATGTACCCAAATTAGCATGAATATTCACACACTTTGCTGTCGAAATATCAATGTTGGGTTACTGGGAGCTGCCCCAGACCTTATGGGAGTGTTACTCTCAATTCTGAAATGCATCTGGTCAAGAGTTTCCGGACAAGATTATGAGCCTGTGTTCTTGCTAGAAAGAAAAGGGAAAGCCTTTTTTAGAAGGCTTCTGTTTTTCTTAGTCCATAGTATGCTATATCACCTTACAAATCCCAGGAAAGCCCTGAGGAATCCTCCCAAGATTTAAACGCACAGCCCCTTGATTCCTGTATATTCAAGGACTTGTGGGAAGAAAAAAGACTGAGCTTGGAGTCAGGAGGCCTGATTTTCTTCCTTTTACCAAGCTTCTCTAGGTCTGTTTCATTATCCCTATGGCAACGCCTAGCAACAGTGCCTGGCATTTAGTAGCCCCTTCATAAATGTATATTGAATAAACTCTAAAATGAGGTCGTTTTTCACTCGCAGGTTCTGATTCCTTCCTCTTGGTCCTGTTGCAGGCAGGGGGCAATGGCAGCCTGCCCTCCGTGGGTGACGGTGCGGGGAACAAAAATAAAGTACAGACGTTTTCAGACAGGAAAGAGCCCTGAGCAAGTCGACTCATCTGTTCAGAACCTCCCCCAAATGGGAAGCTCGATCCCCAATCCTATCCCTTGGACATGACTGAGGAGGGTCTCTCTCGTTAAGGGTGGGTATATAATCCTTCCTTCCTCTCCTTGCCACACTTGAAAATAAAATATTGCACGGCACTGGGCTCTCAGCCGCACCTCGGCTACCCCGCACGCTTCAGAGCCTCCTCCCGCAAAGCGGGGGCCGACGCGGGCCCAGGGCCCTGGCTTCGCGGGCTAGTTCCCGCCCCCTCTCGCCCTGGAGGACCGTGGGTGGACGCTCTTGCAAGAACGCCTCTCGCTGGTCGGGCGGGGGTGGGCGGAGCCAGCGCCGCCCGGGCTGTGGAAGCCGAGGGTGGGGACACTCTGGCCCGGCTCTCGGTGGTGCGGGAGCGGGAGGGAGCAGCGGCCGCTCTGGTCGGCGGACGTGCTGCCGAGCAGTCCCGGAAGCGAAGCAGCGATGGCGGAGAGTCCAACTGAGGAGGCGGCGACGGCGACGGCAGGCGCCGGGGCGGCGGGCCCCGGGGCGAGCGGTGTCGCCGGTGTTGTTGGCGTTAGCGGCAGCGGGTTCGGGCCGCCTTTCCTGCCGGATGTGTGGGCGGCGGCGGCGGCGGCGGGCGGGGCCGGGGGGCCGGGGAGCGGCCTGGCTCCGCTGCCCGGGCTCCCGCCCTCGGCCGCTGCCCACGGGGCCGCGCTGCTTAGCCACTGGGACCCCACACTCAGCTCCGACTGGGACGGCGAACGAACCGCGCCGCAGTGTCTACTTCGGATCAAGCGGTGAGCCGGAGTTTTTCCTCCCCCAGCCCCGAGCTCCGGGGCTCGACCTTCCCCGCCCCCCCTTTCCCACTACATCCCCCCCCCCGCCCGCTGCCTCCGCGCTTCCCTCGCGGAGGCCCAGCTCCAAGGCCCACGTCTTGCCAGCCCGAAGCGTCGCGATCCAAGTCCCCTGTACCTCCCCCCCCCCCGCCCGCCCGCAGCTCCACACGCACCAAATCCCTCCTCGCGTGCCCAGGTCCGACCCCGCCCCTCGGCTACCTCCCTTGAGCCCTCCGTCTCGGTGCCCGACACCCTCCCCCATACCTCCCGCCCGAAACCCGACCCTTTCGCGCTTCAGCAACACCCCCTCCCGCCTTCCGCGCCGCCTCTCTCCCCCCTTCCCCACCCCAGCCTTGCTAGATGCTGCCCGGAGGCCCCACCCATTGCCCCCCCACCCCCCGCGTCGTCTCCTCCAGAGCCCCGTTTGTAACACACATAGAGCTTGCTTTTCGTGGCTTCAGAGTCGAGGCCAACCTTTTTATTTCCCATCTCCTCAAGCCTTCTCCCCAAGTCTAGATCGCTTCCCTCACATACCCGCAATCTCCCCTTGAACCACTTCTTCAGAACCCTAAAGCTATCCACTCTCACACCTGTTCCAGGAATGCAGGCTTTCTCCCCCCAGTCTCACTCTGGCTTGTATTATCCCACTCAACACTTTTGTATTTTTTTCTCTCTCGGTCATTTGGTTTACTTTTCTGAAGTAAATATACCTAATTCAAATATAGGAACAAAGGCCCAAGTCCTTTCTGTGCTTATTTTTTGGGTGACTGATCTTAGATCCTATCATTTAATAATGTTTCTGCAAAAATGCTCAGCGTAGTGCCTATTGCATAGGAAAAGAGTAATGCTTTTTAGCTGCTGTTAATCCTGAAAACGGTTTCCTGATGACCAGTCTCTGCCTCTCCCTGTGCCCCTCCACTGCCGCCATCCTCATCTAGGTAATCTCCCCCTCCCCCCCCCCCCAGGCTCCAAGTCCCTTCACATGTCTCTACCTACCTTTCAAGATTGTAATAGCAATTAAACAGCTCATTGTATGTAAAGTATTGTGGCCCAGTGCCCGACACAGACGCCAGCTCCTTTAGGGTCCATCAGGGTCGCCACCTCTAACTTCAGAACCTCAGCACTCCCCTCTACTCCTGTCCTCCGTCCCCTTCAGTCTGCCAATCCTGACTGTTACCTTTGAGTTCTGCCAATCACTTGTTTGCACTTTACATCTCTATGTACCCTACCAAGTCTTTTCCCACCTAGAATGTTCTTTAGACCCTCGTTCACAATGGATGCATTTTAGATTGTGTGATGCAACCTACAAATCCTTTCATTTGTAGTAGCCACTGCATGTCATCTTTCAGATGTGAGACTTCAGCAATGTCAGAGGGTACCCTGTCCAATCTGAAGAGATCTCTGTCCTGTTGGTGCCATGGGCAGGAAGACCCTGATTGCTCCTTGCTAGCTCACTTGCTTCATAGAATCCCCTTGCCAGCAACGGTCCACTGTTTATGGGATTCGCTTTTTTAGTGGAGTTGATTATGTCTTCCCAGTTACTGAACAGTCTTCATTTAGCATTCAGTCGTAGTACCTGGGAATCTCGGAGGTGGGAGTGAATGAATTGCCCTGTGGGAGGAAGAGAGAGTAAATGGGATGTGGCTTTTCCAGGGTGACATCTGATGCCATTGGGATCTCTGATTTTTTCCCCCTCCCCCTGAGGAAACAATGCCCTTTTGATGATAATTTGCTCTCTGCTTGCCTGACAAGTACTCAGCTGAGATTTCTCAGCCAACAAGATAGCGCAGACGTTTGTGGTACCAAGCACCACTTTCTCAAACCCTGGCCTCACTGAGGTGATAACAACTGTCCTGCTCAAGGGATTCCCCTTTTTTCTCCTCTCCCTTACTCCCTTCCCCACCTCCTCTTGGTGTTAATACAGGGATATCATGTCCATTTATAAGGAGCCTCCTCCAGGAATGTTCGTTGTACCTGATACTGTTGACATGACTAAGGTATGTAACTTGGAGGGGGGTGGGGGCTATTGGGAAATTGGGCCCAGAAAGTTGGAAGATCCTAAAAGATTATCCAGCTCACATCTCTGATTACATAAATGAATAAATCAAGATCCCAAGAGAATAAGTGGCTTGCCCAAGGTCACACAGTGAGGTGGAGCAGAGCCTTGAACAGGTGTCTTTTATTCAGGTGCCAGTAGGTCTGGTTGACTTGGAAAATCCCCGTTTATGCCTCTTATCCCAGCTTAACTATTACCAGGCCGCTCTTTCACTCTTAAAAAATGCTCCAGTTAGGCTGATAAATGATAGTCATCCTGTTCATTTTACTACCCAATTCTTCCCCCATCCGGTCACTCTGGACACTTAAGTATGCTGCTGTAAATCAAATGCAGCGAAGATTGGGGATGGGGCAGACCTGAATGAACAGAGTTTATACTCAAAGGGCCTTGTTCAGGCTCCTGTCTTTACTGGTTGCTTTTGAATATCCTTTCCACCCCAAAGACCATTCCTGTCTTGTCCTCCACACACAAACACAGAGAAGCTGAAATTCCCCCGGCTTAGATACCTAGGCTTCTCTGTCATTGAGTGCTCTACTCTCGGAAGTGAATTTTCACTTAAACTGATGTTGGGAAGAAATCAGATTTCCTAAATCTAATATTGTTTAAAGGAAAACTCTCCATAGTTTAAAGTTTCTTACAGTAAAAGCTCAGACATTGTATTGTTGGTATATCTATTTTGTTTCAAATAAGTTTCCCTGTAAATTGATTTTTTTCTTTTTATGTGGTTGGAAATGTTTTTCCTGGGACATCTTGTCCTCAGTCAAGCATCAGTGTTAATATGCTAGTCCCTAGGGTCCCAGAATTGATGTCCTGTGATGCCATTTGAGCTTGCTATTCCAGATGACTGAGGGCTAAAAGATAATCCGGGATGCCGCCAGGGCAAAGTAGGGACTGAGGCATTGGATTGCAGGTCCTTTTTCGTCTTGCTGTTTAAATTCTGAGCAGACTGGAGTGCCTCGCAGCCTTTGTAGGAGAAGAAATATAACAGTTCAGGTTTTCCTCCTTTCAGGAAGGGAAAGCTTGCTCAGTAATCGTGGCTGGAGGAAAAGAGTTCAGCGTTCTGTTTTCAATGCTGCCAATTTTTTTTTTTTTTTTCAGATTAACCAACAGTGTTGGGGAAATTTCTGAGGATGGTTTAAGGGCCCCAAATGGACCCTGAGCTTTCCCGTTTTTCTTGATAGTTTTGACACAGCAGTAGGTTTGATCCTCTGCGGAGGCAGCAGGCACCCAGGGCCTCCATCAGGACCCTCAGCTCTGCACTGGCACCGCTGCGGCGGCCTCCAATCCCTTTGTTCTTTTCCATTCATCTTACCTCCCGTTTGCGCCACATGCACATCATAGGCATGTTTAACCTAGGCACATCCAAACAGACGTGCTCAGTAAAGATATATATTCGTTTCTTCAAATTAAACATGCTAGGATAATATTTTACAGGTGCATATTTTAATTTACGCAGTGGTGTTCCATCTAGGTTTGTGTTATATTTATATTTATATATGTATATATATACATATATAACACAGATGAGGGAAATCTAAAGAAAAACCATGCTGTCGGGGAGTTTTAAGGGACACTCAAGGGTGATTTTTGATTAGATTCAATTTTCACCTTGGGCTCTACTTTAGAATGTAACCCCTGAGTAAGATGCCACTCCACCGTAATGGGATTTCTTAAAATTCCAAGCATGTGTATCAGTATGAGTGAGTACAGGCTGTTTATCCTGCATGGTGAGGATACGGAATATGAATGCCGGCTGAAGGTCCTGCTTCTGGTGTGGGTAGCCTGTGGAAGCCAGGAGGGGTTGGGATGGGACATCACCTCACAATTTTGAGATGGGGTTTTATTTTGCAGATTCATGCATTGATCACAGGCCCATTTGACACTCCTTATGAAGGGGGTTTCTTCCTGTTCGTGTTTCGGTGTCCGCCCGACTATCCCATCCACCCACCTCGGGTCAAACTGATGACAACGGGCAATAACACAGTGAGGTTTAACCCCAACTTCTACCGCAATGGGAAAGTCTGCTTGAGTATTCTAGGGTAAGAGGAGACTCTTCTAAGGGGCCAAGTTGGTTGTTAGCAAATGACTCTGCTCCAGGCCAGCCTTTGTCAACCAGCGTTCATCGTCGGAAGCACAGGAAACGGTCGGGGTGACTGTTTCCTCCGTTCTCCCCGGGGTGCTACGCGACTGGCGCCCTTCTCCGCGCGGAAGAGAGAAGTTCATTTGTGACCTACGATGGACGCCTTGGTGAAGTGATTCTCCCTGAGCAGCAGCAGCACCCGGGAGTTTGTGGCCCTACAGGTTCTGGGGTTCCACCCTCGACTTCCTGTATCAGAAACTCTAGGGGTAGAGGCCCCGGCAGTCTGTGTCTTACAAACCCTCTGGTGCTGCTGGCGCACGCTCCAGCTTGAGAACCACTTCCTCAGGGCATCGGGGCTTAATCCTCTCCCGAACAGGTTGAGAAAGGCTGCAGATCTGTGCCACCTAAGATTGTGGGTGTCTTGTTCCGGAGTCTCTCAGTGAGTGGCTTTGGAGGCGGTGGTGGTGATGAGGATGATTATGATATTTTAACAACTGAATGAAAAATGTTTGAGGTTGGAAGTCACATCAGATAAGAAACATGGGTTTCAAGTACATTTTGTATCTGGGTGCTACTGAGATTTTGCTTCATGCGGTTCTCATTCGTTCCCTTTTAATTTCCTTTGGGGGTTAAAAATTCAGAATGGAAATGTCTTCTAACGTCTTCCGGACTGGTCTTGTTCGTGTGGTCTGAATTGCCCCAGAGCAGAGAACAAGTGCAGCTTGAAGTTGGGAAAGTTGCCCGAACTGGTGGTGCTGTTTTCTTTCTTGTCCAGCATGTTTCCGAGCATGTGGGGGGAAAAGGCAGCAGACCCAAACTGGAGGCATGATTTATTTTACTTACTTATTTTCTTAATCTCCCTGGTCCAGGGATATGTTCTGTGATGGTGGCAAGGAGGAAGTCCTTCGAAGGAGGTCGTTCTTAAAGAGGTCCTTTATGTGGTTAGGGTATTTGTCTCTGCTGATAGCCCACAGCGGTACGGACACTCACTTGTTTCTGTAGGACACCCGTGCACGACGGTGTTTATGTTCTAGGTTCCCATTAGGCCAGTATAAAACTATTTCGAACAAACATCAGCTCACAGTAGAACCAGGGGAAGTAAGATGGTGGGGTAAAAGTGGCAGAAGCGTGTTGGGTGGAAAAGGAGAAGCTACCCTCAAGTTGAATTTTGACCATGAGGAATCACAGGGTAGAAGATTCCCGTGTGTTCTTAGTTGACTATTCGCTCTGTCAGCCTCAGTCCCTTCCTCCCTACCTAGAAAAAAAAGATTGAGGCTGCCTTACTGACAAAAGAAATGTAATGAAAATGTACCTTGTTGGCTTGCCTCCCCGAATATGTGAAGTCTTAGCGCAGAGTCTGGCGTTCCTGGAGGAGCAGAGCTGAGGGGAGCAGGCTGAGAGGCTCAGAAGAGCAAGCCTTGATGATGATGATGATGATGATGAGCTTGCTTAACTGGACTCTCCTCAAGTGTAGCAGGGAAAGGGAACTGGCCAGTGAACTTGAGCAAGCCAATCCTGGCCTAGGTTGTGTTCAGCTTCCAGATCAGGTGCCATCTCTTCAGTTAATTGAGCTAAAATGTCTTTAATGTCCAAGCTGTGCTCCTCCTCCCAGGACTCGGTCGGGTATATGGAAGAGAGGAGCAATTCTGGTGCTTCTCTTTTATTCAGGATGGTTTCCATATATTATTTCAGACCCTCCATGGGTCTGACCCTTACTCCCTTCCTGTCCTTTGGCAGAGTTCTGTAGTCTTCAGAGAATCTGACACTCTTTGGGGGCTGGATACAGAGCAGGATCCCTGAACATCAGCCCCACCACATGGCCTCTAACCAGATGGCTTCAGGCTCCCCTGCACCTCTGTGCTCAGCTTCTGTCTCCCCGCTAACTCCTTCACCACCCGTAAATAAGCAAGCTCCGGGATCTGCTGAGGTTAACACTTAGACTGCCTTTGGTGCGGTTTTCTTACCTTATTTCTTCCATTTTGATGAATGGAACCTTCCCTAGCTACTGTTTCTTTCCTAGGCCAATGAAAATCCCTTCAAAGTTATCTTGCTTGCTTTACCCTCTTTTCTTTTGTCCCACTTGATAAGAGGATTAGGCAGTTGACTGATTTCTGGTGAATGAGGGTGAGACAGGCTGGGAAATTCCAGAGCATTAATAGTGAAAGAGAAAGTTGACTCACTGACGGGGGTGCTGCCAGGCCCCAGGGTGCTGGTGCACTAGTCTTTCTGTGGTGGCCTTCACCATCGCTCTCGGCCTCACCCTCTTCCCTCCCTCTGCTGTGTTTTGCAGTACGTGGACTGGCCCCGCCTGGAGCCCAGCCCAGAGCATCTCTTCCGTGCTCATCTCCATCCAGTCCCTAATGACTGAGAACCCCTATCACAATGAGCCTGGCTTTGAGCAGGTAAGGCCAGGGGGGGCCAGCTGGGGAGTGGAGTACTGAGTTTGAAGAGCTCTGATAGGTCTGCTTAAGGGTCCTGTTTGTTTGTTTGTTTAATGTCACCACAGGAGAAAAAAGGAGCTGGTATGTGTGCTCCTTAAAAATGACTTTTTTTTCCTTGTAAGTTAAAATAACACTGTCAGGTTATTTTCATTTGACGTGGGTTAATCTACAAGGTGGGAATCAGTGGAGTCATCTGGAAATTAATTCTAAGCTTGATTTTGGGGGCTGTTGGCAACCAGTGGGTTCTTCTATAGGTGTCCATTCTCCCAGTAATCCCCTAAGGTACTTTCTGTAGTGACTACTGCCCAGCCGGGGGTTCTTCCAGAGTTAACAAGGCGCTGTTAACTGGAACAGCCAGAGGGGCTAGTCATTAGCTAGTAGGGCAAGAATATTTTAGTCAACGCTGCCAAAGAGAAGGGAGAGGAAAGTTGCATTTTCCAGGGGTTATGCTGTATGCCAGCCACTGCCGAATATTCATATATGTATCTCATTTAACCTTTACACTAACTTGGGTAGGGGCGCCTGGCTGGCTCAGTTGGAAGAGCAGACAGCTCTTGATCTTGGGGTCGTGAGTTCGAGCCCCATGTTGGGTGCAGAGATTACTAACTTGGGGTAAATGTTATCCCCATTTTCAGATGAGGTAATGGTGACATGGAGAGGTTAACTTTCACAAAGATACATAGATAATGGTAGAATCCAATATTTGCCGTGGAGCCGAGAGTTTTTCCATTGTTCCAAAATGCCTTCCAGGATTACTCAGAAGTACAGGGAAAGAGTTCCAGTGATAATCCCCAAAGATAACAATTCTGTCTAGGTGATTAAAACAGTTTAACTCATTTTTAAACTATTTGAGATAATGCTAACATTGATGGTTCATTTATAGACCGGAACAATGGGAAATACCCTTGGAGAGTGAACAAAAGTTATTCCCAAGACCACCTTTCCAAACAAACAGTATATTTGATTTTAGGATTAGGTGGAAATGGAAAAGGGCCTCATTGGCTAACCAAGGAGCTGATTTTAAGGTCTTTCCTTTGTTTGGCAATTCAAGAGATGCGATTTTTATTCTTAATACTCCCAAACATTATTGGTTCACAGTCCCTGGTATCTAGGTGGCTTTTTCACAGCTCCCCAGGCAGAAGGAAGTGCCCAGCTGTTCGTTTCTTAAGCAGTTAGGTCCAGACAACTCACTTCTTCCTTAAATAACTAAAATGGCTTAAAGACAGAAAGGGTATACTTGTCGGGCACCACACAACTTTGAAGATCTTGGAATCCGATCGGATCCACCACCCTCATTTCTCGTCCCCACTGTTTTCATACGCTACCTGCTATTTATCAACGTAGTGATTGACAATCCAGCTTCACAAAGATAATGTGTCATCGAAAGGACTATAATGCAGTTTAAAATCAGAACTGACCCACTGAGCTCAAGCTTGTAGTTTCCACGGTGTTTGACAGGTGGTGAATACTGTGGTTTTCTTCAAAAAGTTAAACATATCCCACAGCACCCCTGTGATCTCACGGTGGTGCATTTTGGAGACCATGGTAGTAGACTGAGGGTATGTATGTCTTTCCTGTTCATGATGTGTTTTAATCAGAGGCCAAGGTTCTGGTTGCCGGGTTGGTGGTAGGAGGAGCATTGAAGAGTAAAGGAGGGGTTAAAGGATGGAAGACTGTACTCCCTTCCGTCTGTACCCCACTTTCATAGTGGCTTTCTCAATCAGCCTTGGAGTTTTCTTTTGGAAACTTCAAGTTCTACTTCTGATAGATTCATAGTAATTTCTTTCAGTGATGGTGGAACCCTGCAGACATAAAAAGGAGTTAGCTGGGAAGCATCCAGATATTTATAGGGTTTTTAACTGAGACTCCTAATGTCACGTTTACCGTTTTGTCCCACCACCATTCTTAACATTTGGTTCTTTCCCATCCAGTCTTTACCTCAGAGGCCTCTCAGTTCAGCCTTAGGAAAAAAATTTCTAGTTTGCTGCTTACAATATGGGTGACCTGTAACAGAGGATGGGTATTCGCATGCATGGGAGGAGGTGAATGATCTCAAAAATAAAAACTCAGTTGTTCTTCATGGATCTGCCATAGTTGGATAGGTACCTTCTAGGTTTCTTTACTTGGGTCATGTGCCCCATATTAATCCTGAAGTCTCCTTCTGTTGACTTTTCTCTTTGCCTAAATTTTGTACTTGGACACTCTGGTGTCTGTTACATTACAGGAGAGACATCCAGGAGACAGCAAAAATTACAATGAATGTATCCGGCATGAGACCATCAGAGTGGCGGTCTGTGACATGATGGAAGGGAAGTGCCCCTGCCCTGAGCCCTTACGGTATGTGTGTGCCAAGAGCACCCACTTGGCACTTGGTGTTCCTGTTGGAGACTTAGCTGGTTCATACCTTTGAGAACCTTTGGGGCAAAATCCACTGTTGGGCACCAGGGGAGATACAGAAAAATGAAAGCTGTAGTCCGTGCTTTCCAGGAGTGGTGGCTGAGGGTCTCTCGAGGAAGTTCGGAGAGCTGCTCTGTTCTAGGAGAGTGCCAAGCCCAGTGGGAAAGACATAGTCCATACCCATAGGGAGCCCCTAGTTTGATAAGAGCCTGGACCTACTGAAGATCCTTCTTTGTTCTGTAGCCAAATGAGGTGTAGAGCCCTTCATAATGTGAATCCACTTCTCAGTGTTCGAGTTCATTCGTAAGTGTTCAGACTAGATGAACAAAGTCAGAGTTATTGAAACAAACTTCTGGAAGAATTTTGAGTAAGGTCTGGGATTAGGGATGGCCTATGGAAAACAAATGAGATTGAGTCATGAGTTGAAAGTTGGGATTCAAATGATCTGTATTAACAGTCACCCTCCTTTTAATCCCTAAGGTATAAGAGAAATCAGCCTTGGGCTGTCAGCTGTTCTTTTTGACATTTTCCATTGAAAGATCTTTGTGAGGGGGGCACATGGGTGACCCAGTCAGTAGAGCGTCTGACTCTTGGTTTCAGCTCAGGCCATGAGGTTGAGCCCCGAGTCGGGCTCCACACTCAGCATAGAGTCTGCTTGAGATTTGCTCTCCCTCTGCCCCTCATGCTCTCTCTCTCTCTCTCTCTCTCTCTCTCAATCTCTGAAATCATTGGGGGAAAAAAAAAGAAGAAGGTCTTTGTGAGATACCAAATCTGGGCTTGGGAACTCTAATTGGACAGTAAGGTTAGATGGTGAAGGGTTGATCCCTTCCCCACCACTTAACCACTAACTTAAGCTTTGCTGCTTGTTTTCCAGAGGGGTGATGGAGAAGTCCTTCCTGGAGTATTACGACTTCTATGAGGTGGCTTGCAAAGATCGCCTGCATCTTCAAGGCCAGACCATGCAGGTAATGCAGCCCCTGCCGCTGACTCAAGAGGCCTCGCAGCAGGCCACTTAAAATCCCCCCCGAGGGAGAGCATCTGCGTCTCTCAGAGAATTCAGAGCCAAAAGGAACTTGGTTCATTTAAGTCACTGCGGCCCAGAGAGGAGACCGACTTGCCTAACTCATGTGGAGTTGCTTCTCAATCTTGCCATAAACTAGGTGCTCATGAGTAGAGTCTGAACCATCCTGCTTTCTAACCTGGAATGCCTTCCCTTCTTAGTTGTCTTTTCCAACCAAGAACATTCAGCCCTCTCAGAATCTTAGTGATGATAAGGGTGAGTCCTCTGTTGAGTTCGGTCCCTAGCTCCAAGGGGTGGGTGCTCAGAGAACGAGGCTAGGGAAATACTGGGTATGTGGTGGTATATGTTGAAAGATTCCTGTTACAAAGATAGTAAGCAGTTGTTTACTCTCTGCCTCCTTTGGAGAAATGTGCTTCTACTTCCAATAGGAATGCAGGATTTAGGCTTGTTTTAAAGAGGAGATTCTTGGGGCATCTGGCTGGCTCAGTCAGTAGAGCGTGTGACTCTTGATCTCAAGGTCGTGAGTTCAAGCCCCACGTTGGGCATGGAGCCTACTTAAAAAAAAAAAAGAGAGAGATTCTTATTAAACCAAATTGTAAATGGGTTCAAATATAAAAGACCTGGTTGGTAAGAGGGTGAGACTCCCCCTGTCCTGAAGGACCAGTTGTTGTGTCTTTTGGATCATTTACTGGTGGTCTTCCTTAGAATCGTGCTGACTTGGATGAACTACTGAGGAAGGTTCTCTCCAGCTCTTCCTGAGCCGCTTCCCCCACCCAGGCCCCAGTAGCAGCAGTAGGAATAAATGTCTTCTTTCCTCAGCTGCTGCTTAGAAATGGTAGTTTCCCTGTCCTTCCTTCAGGGACTTCCCACCCATCTGCCACATTAAAACTCAAAGGGCAGGGGCGCCTGGCTGGCTTCGTTGGAAGAGCATGTGACTATTGATCCCAGGGTTAGAAGTTTGAGCCCCACGTTGGGTCTGGAGATTGCTTTAAAAAAAACAAAAACAAAACCTCAAAGGGCAAGGCCAGCTCAGCATTAACTTGTTCCTGAGCCCTTTTGCAGAGTCCATGATGCCTGCCATGGTTCATTCCCCAGGAATTCTCATTGCTGGTATTCAAAGGCATTTCCAATATTCACTCTGTGGAGGAAAAATAACTCGTGATGAGAGAAGGAAAGGGAAGAGCAGTGTCTGGGGAGGAGGGAAGTGGGTGGAAATGGAGCCAAGGATGAAAAAAAGGAAGATTTGAAAAATTGACAGCTCCAGAGTAAGTGTGGAGTTCAGCCTGTGGGGACTGTAACCCTCGGAAGTGAAAAGCGTGGGCTGTAGTCACAGTGACTGACTTGTGTTCACTGGTCCCTGATCATGAGGGTGATGTGTGGGCAGAAGTGTGGAAGGAGAAGCAGAATGTGAGAGGGAAAAATCGTGTACCTTTTTGTGACTCCAGAGGTCTCCCACTTGTCCAAACCCTGGCCGTGTGCCCCTTTGCTGCCATATTCTCTGTATAGCATTTTACGTTCCTTGTGTTTATGCCCTCCACTCCAGCCCTTAGTTATTCTTGAGATTTTTAAGGAGATTTAAGGACAGTTAGCACAAAACGTTTGGAGATGTTTGATGTAGAATGACAAGGACTAGGATCAAGGCTGGGTGGCTCTGGAGTGATAGCTACAAAGCGGACAGGAAGGTGGTGACAGGTCTCTCTGGAAGAGCGTACGGCTGCTTATCGGGAAGTCAGAACTCTTGAGTTCCTACTCGCCTGTGATGTTGGAAAAGCAAATTTTCCTTTTTGAATATAGGGAAAGAAGGGTGATATTTCCCTTATATGGTTTTTATGAAGTTAATTGAAAATACAGGCACAGCTCTGGTCTTGAATTTGTTTCTTGCCTGTCTCACCTTTACTGTTACCCTCTTCTGCATAGTGGCTTGCTTTCAGGGAACAAAAACACATTTTAATGTTGGCCCAGGCCAGACCCATCTGGGTGGTTGACGTGCCGTAATACTCCCAAGCAGAGGGTGTGCTCTCTGCTGTAGGGGCCTGTCCGTGCTCTACCCTCTCTACCCCCATGGCTCAGAAGTTGAGCGTGCGTCCAACATGGGCCCGAAGCTGCTCTCTCTAGGGTGAACCACCCAGACTCGACTCTTCCATCCCGCTTGTCTCCTTTCCCCCACAGGACCCTTTTGGAGAGAAGCGTGGCCACTTTGACTACCAGTCCCTCTTGATGCGCCTGGGACTGATTCGTCAGAAAGTGCTGGAGAGGCTCCATAATGAGAACGCCGAAATGGACTCTGATAGCAGTTCGTCTGGGACAGAGACAGACCTGCACGGGAGCCTGAGGGTTTAGACCCTGCTCCCTTCTCCCCTCCCCCCACTCAAGAGCCCCAGCAAAGTCCCTTCCCCCCCACCCCAGGGACGGAGAGGCACTGTGTATCTCCCTCCAAACGTGACGTCATCCTGCAAGATGGCAAGAACCAAGCAAGCTCGGATCCCAGGGTGTGGGAGTGGGGTGGCTGTTCCTGATCCGACCTCCCTGGCTCTCGAGCATCTGGGGCTGTGTTCATCCCGTAGCAGGGGCCAAGGTACCTACACAGGAGCAGCTAGGGGAGGGGCCTCTGGCAAAAACCAACCAACCGACACACCTCTCCACAGGGCCAGCTCCTTAGGGGTAGGTGGGAGGCAGAAACTGTAATTCCAAGAGGGAGTGTGCCCAAATGATTGATGGGGATCTCTGGAAGGGGGCTTTGGGTGGGGGGGCTGTCTGTGACACTTAAGCAGTCTGGGTGGTTGTCTGTCTGTCTGCAGTCTTGAAGCAGGGCTTCCCAATGCCCTTTTCCTCCCTGCCTCTTCTCGCATTACTTCCCCTGGGCCAGCATAATTTTGTTTTTCCTAATTTATAGTCACTGTTCTAGACAGACCAAAGAGAAGGAACAGTGGTGGAGTCTAGGCTGCTGATCAGTAAGCTTTACCTAGCACCTGAGCACCTTTCTCCTCTGCCCCCCCCATTGCCTCGCCCATTTCTAGATTTAAGACAGAAGGTAAATGTGACTGGGACTGAACCAAGGTCCTGGTAAAGCCTGCAAGGCACTATTGAGAAGCTGATTTTGTTCCCGCAATCACTGATTTGAAAAGTTCCCAACGCAGCTGGCTGCTGTGTGTGGGGGATGAGAGCCACTACATACAATAGTCTCTTACAGATGTTCCTGAATGCTAGCCACGATGAGGGTATTTCTCCTGGGGGCGGGGTGCAGTGGGGAGACTGATGCTAGTACTGTTGTGTTTTGTTTGGCTGTCCTTGTGTATTTTCACCCCAGCCTCTAGTCCCTCCCACCCCTCCCCCTCACCTCAATGCCCAGGAACTTGTGGGGAGCAAGGGTTGGCCAGTGGCAGAGGGGCTGAGGCCGGGACTCTGGGCTCCTCCACCTCTCTTGCCTCTTCCCCTCCTCGCCCTCCCAGCTGCTCTGTCGCCGGCTCGGATGGGCGTTTGCCTGGCTGTGTTGCTTCTTTCTATCTAGCCGCAGTGATCCTTTAGCTGGTTGGCTCAGAAAAATGTGCTTTAGGCGCCCTGTGGTACTGGGCACTGAGGGAATCCAGCCTTCCCCTTTTTGGTGTGTTCTCCCCGTACTTTCCAGATTCTTACTGTTATGGCTCCCAGTGGGGTGTTGGCGATCCATGTGCCGCAGGGCCTCAGTCAGCATCGGGCCAGTGTCCGGGAGAGGATGACTTGGGCCTGCCCTGCCCGCTGCTACGGAGGCCTCTGCCTGTAGGTCGTGGGACTTCCTGGGGGGGAGTTCGGAAGGGGTTGGGTACAAAGGAGAATGTCCGACTTGGGAGGGCAGGAAGCAAACAAACTGGATAGGAAGTAGGCTTGGGGAACGGAAGTTTATCTCAGATACCTAAGGCTGGGTCTCCTAACGAGGAGACTCAAAAAGGGACCCTGCTTCCAATTTCCCTCTTCCATTCCCAGAGCAAGCACAGGGCTTAGAAGAATGCCCTTGGTCTGTTGGTCCAGTGGTTGTCTGTCATCCATTTAAGTGTTCCCACTTTCAAGTGACAATCCTCTCCTTGGCCCTGCCATGGGCAGAGCATGTCTGGCGTACCTGCCTGACTTTTATGCCCTAATCTTGAGTTGAGGAAATATATGCACAGGAGTCAAAAGAGATGTCTTTATATCTGACTGTACATAAATGAAGTTTTTTTTTTTTTCTTTTTGGTGCAATAAAGTTTGTTTTGGCAGAAGGAGGAAGCGCCTTGGGTGTGGGAGGGTTTGTGTCAAGGGAGACTGGGATTCTCAATAACCACACCTCTCAACTAGGTCTGAAACTGTCAGGGAGAAAGTGCTCGATGCCTTGTCTGGAGGCTGGAAACTCCGGTTACAGGACACGGGTGGAAGCAGGGCTGCCGGGGCTGAGTCTCCCGCCAGCCAGAAGTAGAAGGGCCTTTTTTGAGACCACCTTTGGCAGTCAAGGAGAGGAATGCCATCTTGGCCTCAGTTGCTTCCAAAGAGCCCCTTCTTCACAAACTGGGAAGGGAGCATGTCCTCCAAGGACAGGCAGATCTAGACTGTATCTCTGGGTAAGGAAAGGGCGTCTTTAAGTTCTGGATAATCCAAACCCCACTGGGTTTTCAGATTTCTGGTACTAAACCAGCTCTTAGGAATTCAGCATTCAGACCACGAAGACCGCTTCATACAGCCACCTTCCTTCCCTACTTGCTAAAGAAGGGCTCTGGCTTTCGGGCGCAGAGGCTTTTCCTCTCGGCTGACCCTGCGGCTAGGAAGACGGTCCGAGATACCCGGCCAGCCTGGGCCGGGCCGAGCCAGGATGCAGGGAAGTGAAGGCCCGCGCGGCACTGGACTTACGCTCTGGCTCTTCGCTTTGCTTCTGAAGCTGGTGGCCCCCGGTGAACTACTTCAGTTCCTCACCTGAGACAGTTAAGGAGAACCTACTCCCTGAACCGGTGAACGTGGCCGTGAGGATTAAGGGTCCAGAAGATGGTCCAGGGTAGGTGTTCAGTAAATGATGCCCTAACTGCTGCTAAGGCCCGAGGGACCTAGCGATCAGCACAGGAGGGGAGCTGGTGCGGAACTCGAGGACGACTCCGCCCACTGCTGGGCCACTCCCCCAGGTTCCATTGATTCTTTCCTCTAACCACCATCTAACTTTGACCTCTACTTCCTTCACACTCGGCCAAGGCTGTCAGAACCTGGAAGCTCTAGAGGAAGCTGGAGGAGACTGGATGAGTGGCTATTATTTACTGGTCCATCAGGGTCTGCTCGTTTGAGATCAATGTTTTTATAAGGACAAGGTTTGAATTAATGGGCTGTAATATATGTCCCAGGGCTACAGAGAGACTAGACTGTCTAGCCAGGAGACAGACCACCTTTGTTGTAGACCCAGCTCTACCGTGAACTTGTAGATGACCCGTCAGGTCATTTCGTACACGCTCACTGTTCTCTGTTACTCAGGTTATCCTTACTGGATAAAATGAGGTTTTCTCCAATAAAGGTGCAATGTGAAGGCACTTTAAAATAAAATAAAATAATGGGTGAAGAGTCTTGAGGAGAGAGAAAACTTGGAACTTTTTCTTTCTTTTCAAAAAAAAAAAGTGATTCAGGTTTTATTCGCCAGCAGCTCCGCCCTCTCCCTGCCTGCCGCGGGGGCCCCTTCCGCACTTGCGGAGTCAGGGGAGGGCTTCTCTGGCCTCCTCGGCTGTAATCTCCTGGGAGTAGAGGTCAGTGAAGAGAGCCGGCAGCCAGTAGTGGGCCTCCCCTGGGGCCTGCAGGTCCAGCCAGGCCAGCCCTTCCTTCAGCAGGTGTTCCTGGAGGGAAAAGGAGGCAGTCATTTATGAAGACGGAGTTCCTGTGGGGCGGACAAACCATTTTGGCTTCAGTGGGGTTTTCAGACTAAATCTACACGAGTGCCTTCACGTAGTTACATGACCCAACTGGAATTCCGGGTTCTCCTTGGCCCTGACCTTGGCCTGAGGTGCAAAAAATGCCACTGAATCACTTAACCTGTGCCGCTAGGAAAGAGGGTAAAGACAAGGTGCGGGGGGCGTCGCAGGAGGGACGTGGGGCCTCAGAGACGTCCGCCCCATGGCCCGAAGCAAGGCCCCGGTCCCATTTCCCTGAAGCAGAACGGAGACCACTGTTGTCATTACGTTTCCCGTTAACTCGTGGGTGAACCTCTATGGAGAAATTAACAGAAGGACTCTCTTAGTTTAGGAGGGACTCGCAGTTCCGGCGGCTGGAAACATGCTCGCTTGTGCCGGTAGCATTAAAGAGACGTTTATGTTACCCTGCTCTACACCTCAGTGTATAGTTCAATTGCCTGGATAAGGAAGAAGGTATTAAAAGCCAGGGTTACGTTCTCCTGCTGCTACTCCTCACATCAGCCTTTCCTTCGTACCACGACATCTGTATCTATCTCGCATACAGTGTAATAGTAGGTAATTATGGGTACGGAATTAAGCAGGTAACCGTTCCCTTCACTCCGTGTTAACAGTGTTACTTCCGAGACAAACCGTAGGAACGGTCTGTCCAGGCTCCACGGGTCGGGGAGACAAGGGGTTTTGGTGACTTGCCTACAGCGCAGTTAGAAGCCTGCCTCTGAGTTGGAACTCAGTGGCACCTCAGGGGAACGCGGGGCTGGCTTCTCTGTGGTGACAGCAGCCTGCAAGGCCGAAGTCTCTGCCGGAGGGCTACCTGCCCACCCACCTCCACCCATCTGCGGCCCATCTCCTCTGGGCCGTTCCAAAATTCACATACCAGCACTTGCCGCGCTCGCTCGGTCTCCCATTTAAGACTGGCTTTGATATCACTGACGGTCACGTAGCCATTTTTCTGAAGGAAGGAGGAACCGGGGGGTCAGTTAACAGTGGACTTTCCCTGAGAACCCAGCACCTGCCCGGCAACAATGGACTGACCCCAGACAGGAGGAAGAACTGCCCTTGAAGCCTAAGAGCACAGAAAAAGAATGTTTAGAAGTCCCAGCAAAGATAGAGAAGCGACTTTCAGGGTGACAGAAGGGGGGGCGGGGGGAGGGCGGGTTCAGTCTTAAAAAGTGGGGTCCCTGGTACTAAAATATTAATTTAGACCCTCTCAGAGAACTTCAGAATATGACAAGACTCAGAATAATTAACTGACAGGAAGAAATGGTGACCGTTCCCTGCCTCACCTTACTCATCCCCCAGTGAGAAAAGCCCCTCCCTATTTAGTTTTGTTCTACATTATCGAATTAAGAAAACCGAACGTGTCTTCCCTAAACCCAGGATGAGGACTTGGGGGAAGAGGGGATGTGCTTAAGGCATGCTGAGTAACGGCAATGGCAAACAGGAGGAAACCTTTGTATCGAAGAGCCCGTACAGAAAGTAGTATTCCGAAGACCTCAAAGAATCGGTCTACCCAAGAAAATCCGGTTCGCTGTGGGCATGGCTGGCTGCCCCTCTAGACTGTAAGCTCCCCAGGAGCAGGAGCTGTATGGTGCCGGTCGTTCTACCCCCACGGCCCGGCCGGTGCTTTGCGCTGTAGCTGATCAATAAACGGCTTCTAAACAAGCACAGGTCTGAGTCGTGCGTCTGCTGGACAGTCTCAGCGAAAGACTGCAGTTACTCAGACTGTCCCCCCCCCCCCGCCCCCCGCCACACACAGGCGCCCCCCGCCCCCAGAAGGCAGACCAGTACCTCGGCCAGCTGCAGCACCACCGTGTGATCCATGTTGAGCTCAGCCGGAACAGACTGAATGAGGTAGGTGCCGCCCACAGGGATGATGCCGAAGCCCGTGCCCAGCGCCTTCAGTTTCTTGATGGCCCTGATCAGGTCGTCTCTGAGGTGAGGAAGAGCTGCTTAAGGACCCCTGGCACACCACCCCCAGCCACGACGCAGTGTCTCAGCTCTGCCCCGGGCCAGGACACCCTGACGGAAGACTCAAAAGGCTGCACACCAGTCGGTGACATCAGTAAAAAGGTAAGGCCGAGGGGCACCAGACGGTGCTAGGACGCTCACGGGAGACAGTACAGTGCGGGGCTCTCTGCTCAGCAAACCTTTCTAACCCCGGACACAGGTCAAAAAATCTGCCCACGGGAGCCCATCGGGGAATGTGAATGAATGAGCTAAATGCGAGAGACAGGGAGCAGCGTGAACTACGGCAAAACAGAAAATGCTTATCCATTTTACAGAGGGCAACCCAGCTGATTATTGCCATTTGGAAATTCAGGCCCAGTCCTGCCGGTTATCTGGTTTCTGGTTAACAACTAACTCGAATTAGGGAAAAAGAAAACCCACAAGACAGTGTGTAGACCCTATACCCAGCCCACATACTGACAGCCTTTTTTTTTAATCTTTTCTCAAACTGAAGTCACACCCAGAGGCTGGGGAACCAGATCAATTTGTACCCCATCTTCTGACCCCCCACTCCGTTCCCCAGCCTTTCTCAGTGCCTGCGCTAATCTCCTCGACCTCAAATAATCTGAAGATTAAGCCCCAAGTATGTTAAAAAAAAAAAAAAGTAACAATACATGCGTACACATGAAAAAAAGACGCATAGAAGAAAATACACCAAAATGTCAACAGTTGTAATCTCTCAGTTGAGAAACAACGGGTGGCTTTTGGTTCTTTATATCTCTGTATTTTCAGTTTTCTAAAAAACATGTTTTCTGATCATAAAGAGGAACAAAAATGATCCCCAAAGTAGCCTAGACATGCGAGCAGTAAAGAGAAAAGATTTCCATCTGATTTTTAAAGACCTTTCTATACTCTAAGGGGTTGGAAGGCGTAAGACCTACTGGCTGACGTCTTGCGCGAACTTGCCCCTTCCTCTTAACACCTGTTGATGCAGTTCCTCCAGAGTTATCAGACCTAGGGGAGCGGGGAGGAAAGCAGATGGAGGATTACCTTTATGGCTAAGCCAAGCCAACCCAAAACAAAAATACAAAAAACAGGGGCAGCATCATCTCTGAAAAACTATAAAGGCGCTCTTAACATCAAGGCCGTTATCTATTTACGACCAATGATTTATAACTGGTTTTAAGTTTTCTTTCTAACTTCAACACAGACCATTTGAAGTGCTTTATTAAGATGACACCACTGGATGACCATTTTTAGGTCACGTTTTGGGGAGCCTAGAAACTTGGCACCACCCCACCTTGGAGCGCCAGGATACATAGTTACTAATGATAAAATCATAACCTGGACGTGTTGTTTATCAGGGGAAAAGGCCTATTTCCTACCTCCCTATTATTTTCTGTAATAACCAGGGGCTAAGACCTTCCTGGGTGAAGATCTCTAGGGAATAGAGACAATCATTCGGGTAATTCCATTTTTCAACCACATGAAGCCACTAAGATGCTTCTGAAGACCTAACAGGTTCTCAAGATCTTATTGGCCCGCAGACTACAGGATGGAAAAGATCACCTTTCAAGGTTTTCTCCCTCTGAGAAGTCCAAAGCCCAGTGTGCAGGACTCAGCCAGCCTCACCTCCATTCCGGTGCTTCAGGGCCAGGCATACTTCAATAATCTGGACACCCAGCTCGTAATAGAAATCCCCCACACCTAGCATCTCAGACCAAAATCCTTTTCCAGCTGAAAGACGGAAAAACAAAAGCAGGTTATAGGTTATTTTCTATCCTTTCTTTTCTTTCAAAGCTAGATTAAAACACCTATCCTGTAGGAAGCCTTCCCTGCCTAGCCTAAGTCCTGGGGCTCCATTTACTACTCAGGATCCTCAAGACAGTTGGACTCTTGGAAATTCCTCCTAAAAACCAGGCTCGGACAGGTGGGCAATCTAAAAGGCATTTCTATTTGGCGAATTCTGGCTCAGAACACTATAAAAATGAGCCTTCCTTTCCCAAATTATACAGTGAAATATAATGGGACACAGGATCTAGACAAGGCTGAGAGAAACGATATGCAGACCGGGCATTCAAAAATCCACTGAAGATAATAGCTGTCTGGGTAAAAAAATGCAGGTTACAGAGTAGTAATTATAGCATAATCTGATATGTTAAAAAAAAAAAAAAGTTTATAAATAGGATGAAGGTGTCCAGAAAGCTATCTTAGATTGTTAATATTTATCTCTGCCACTGTGGGACAGGGTCAGAAGACTTGTACTTTCTTTTTCTTTTTTCTCTTTTATTGACTGACTCCATGATTACACGCTACTTTCATTAAAACTAAATTATCTTTTTAATAAAGGGAGAAATAGCCGTTCAGAAACTCCACTGGAGGTCCCTCACGGGAAGGCCCATACCCTGGCTACTAGCCCGCGGCCAGTGTCTCCAGCTTCCCAATCCCCCTGCGCACTCAGCCATCCTGCTGGGCACTCCCTGGAGACAACAGCCACTGGCTCTCCCTGCAGGCCCTTCTAGAAGGGCCTTCTGGAAGGGGCCCTAGCCACAGTAATGACAGCCAGATGAGCTTCCGCCCCTCCAGAGCCCTACGAGAACACCACAGCCCTGTGGACAGCTCCTTACAGGCCAGAGGGTCCACCCCAATGGTGGCACACATGTCCTGGAACTGCACCCGGAACTCGGGATTCTTCCGGATCTCCTGCTTGTGCTTGCTGGCAAATTCCTCCAGGTTGCTCTTGAACATGTCCAACTGCTTCGACATCTGTAAGGTGGACCAGGGGGAGATTAGGGGCAGCCCGGCCAAGTGATAATCTGATGCCAAAAATTAAGTTCCTGGCCCAGTGGCAGGGCAAGGGCTGAAACAACCTATCTCCGCCAGGCCTACCATGATGCTCTTTCTTGTTCCCTTTAGTTTAGGGGTTTTTTTGTGTTGTTTTTTTTTTTTTTTTTATCTATTTGAGAGAGAGAACACACATGCACGAGTGGGGGGAGGGGCAGAGGGAGAGATCTTCAAGAAGACTCTCCACTGAGCACCGAACCCGACTGGGGGCGTGATGAGATCACAACCTGAGCCAAAACCAAGAGTCGGACGCCCAACCGAGCCACCCAGGCACCCTATTGTTCCCTCTCTTTTTATCCCTACCTTTCCTTCATGGTTCTGTTGTCAGCTGGACTGGGATGCCATAATGTTTCCTTAATTCTAAAACACACATTTTTGGGGGCACCTGGCTTGTTCAGTCGGTCGTAGAGCATGCAACTCTTGATCTCAGGGTTTTGAGTTTGAGCCCCATGTTGGGTATATAGATTACTTAAAAATAAAATCTTCGGGGGTGCATAGGTGGCTCAGTTGTTGAGCGTCTGCCTTCGGCTCAGGTCATGATCCCAGGGTCCTGGGATCGAGCCCCACACCAGGCTCTCTGCTCCGTGGGAAGCCTGCTTCCCCTTCTCCCACTCCCCCTGCTTATGTTCCCTCTCTCACTGTGTCAGTCTCTGTCAAAAAATAAATAAAATCTTTAAAATAAATAAATAAACAAAAATCTTTGGGGGCACCTGAGTGGTTCAGTAGGTTAAGCGTCCTACTCTTGGTTTCGGCTCAGGTCATGCTCTCCGGGTTGTGAAATTAAGCCCCACCTCAGGCTCTGCACTCACCTTGGAGTCCGCTTAAGACTCTCTCTCCCTCTACCCCTTCCCACCTGCACACTCTCTCTCTAAAATAAATAAATAAATCTTTAAAACATTAAAGATAATGAAAAATAAAACACACATTTTTTTTTCTCACATGTTCCTGTTCTAAAGTCAGGATGCATCTAACAATCAGCATGCATATCTAATGTGATACTTTTTTTTTTCCCCAGAGAAACGGTTACTAGATTGAAGATGCACCCCAGAATCCATTTTGTCTTAAAAAAATGAGAGAATGCGGGGCGCCTGGGTGGCTCAGTTGGTTAAGCAGCTGCCTTCGGTTCAGGTCATGATCCCAGGGTCCTGGGATCGAGCCCCGCATCGGGCTCCCTGCTCAGCAGGGAGCCTGCTTCTCCCTCTCCCTCTTGCCTGCCTCTCTGCCTACTTGTTCTCTCTATCTCTCTGTCAAATAAATAAATAAATAAATAAATCTTAAAAAAAAAAAAAATGAGGGCGCCTGGGTGGCTCAGTTGGTTAAGCGACTGCCTTCGGCTCAGGTCATGATCCTGGAGTCCCGGGATCGAGTCCCGCATCGGGCTCCCTGCTCGGCAGGGAGTCTGCTTCTCCCTCTGACCCTCCTCCCTCTCATGCTCTCTGTCTCTCATTCTCTCTGTCTCAAAATAAATAAATAAAATCTTTAAAAAAAAAAAAAATGAGAGAATGCAGCATTCAGAAAAAAAGAAATCTTCAGCCACTAACAGAAAGGTTACATAGGAGAAAAAGGAAGCCTGGTACGAATTACGTGTGCAGTGATTGTTGAATCTTTCAGTCATGGACCTTCTTGGGAATTAACTCCAAATAAAGAATCCCAAAGGGAGGGATGGGTCTACCAGATTATATTCCAAAACTAAATACAAATGGTTTGGGGATTTTCTGACTTACTTGTAGTATTCCTTCTCTTTCCCTAATTAACAAAGCCTATGTTCCACCCACCAAGAGTAACCACTCCTGGCCCAACATCTCCTCGTCTGCTACATATTATAAACTTAAACATTATAATCACCATTTCCAGTTGATTCCTGTATGTCACCTCCCCTACGAGTGGGAGATTTTTTTTTTTAATATATATTTTTTTAAGATTTTATTTCTTTGACAGAGAGAGACCTAGCGAGAGAGGGAACACAAGCAGGGGGAGTGGGAGAGGGAGAAGCAGGCTCTCCGCTGAACAGGGAGCCCGATGTGGGGCTCGATCCCAGGACCCTGGGATCATGACCTGAGCCGAAGGCAGACGCTTAACGACTGAGCCACCCAGGCGCCCCAATATTTATTTATTTTAGAGAGGAGTGGGGAGAGAGAGAGCACAAGCAGGAAGGGCACAGAGAGGAGAATCTCAAGCACACTCCCTGCTGATGGAGAAGCCCAACACCGGGCTCAGTCCCATCACCATGAGAGCACGACCTGAGCCAAAACCAAGACTCAGACATCCCTGAGTGGGAGCTTCTGAAGAGCACTGCCTGTGTCTACTATCTTTCCTCAGTACAAGGATCCATTTCCTTGCTTGTTTCCTCCTCTTCTTTACCAGTCCCAGTAACTGAGTAAACTCAGGGTATGTACAGAAAAGGAAATCGCAGGCCCCCGCATCCCATCACTGACACACACTTCTGGTACGCACCTGGATGTGTCGGTGGTGGTGATGGGCCACACAGGTTAAGCAGTATTTTCATCCTATTCTTAGGCACTTCAAGTGAAAGTCCCCAAAGACCTAAATCAAACCGCTCTACCACCTACTACCCAGGTAATCTTGGATAAACCACCTGAGTGTCCTCAATTCTAAACTGGGAAGAATAGAGTTTCCTCCTGGTAGGATCATCAGGATGAACAAGATAGTGCAGGTAGGGGCGCCTGGGTGGCTCAGTTGGTTAAGCCACTGCCTTCGGCTCAGGTCATGATCCTGGAGTCCCGGGATCCAGTCCCACATCGGGCTTCCTGCTCAGCAGGGAGTCTGCGTCTCCCTCTGACCCTCCTCTCTCTCATGCTCTCTGTCTCTCATTCTCTCTCTCTCAAATAAATAAAATCTTTAAAAAAAAAAAAAAAAGATAGTGCATGTAAAGAAAATGGACACGTGCCTGGGACATAGATATAAGCATGGAATGACTCAAAAGATGTTAGCTATCACTGTTATTAGCAAGTCCCTGTAAAAGATCTGAGCAGCCCAGAAATTGAGATTTGCCAAATACCCTATTCTTAGTTCAATCCAAACAATCTAGTTTACATCAAAGGTGTCCCGCCCAGCCTTGTCGGGTCTCCCTTCCTGCCTGGAGCCCTCCAACCGACTCACCTGGGCCAGCTGGTCCTCAGCCAAGACAGTGCCTCGCTCCTTATACTTGGCCTGTCAGACAAAGAGACCAGCGTGAGTTGAGAGTGGGCGCTGGGGGCTCCCCTTGTACTGCCTCCGACGAAGTATGAAAAGAGGGTCTCTCTTAAATGGTTTTTCTTAGGGAGAGGGATGAGGAAGTAAAACAGACGGCCCGTCTGCAGTCATATTTGGGGACGCGGGGGAAAGGGCTGGTGGATCTGGGGATGCTGACATTCCAATCCACCGGAAGCTGAAGAAACTCCGTTCCCCGGGACCCGAGGAGCCCGTGTCAGATTCTGATGGGGCGCGATTTGAGGGTACAGAGCTCTGCTCCAAGACTTTCGATCTCTCTCGGGTCGGGGATGGCTGTGGGGCGGCCTTCTTCCCCTCACCTCGGCAAGCTTCTTCTTGGCGATGGCGCCGGCTCCCACCCCGCGGCGATGCATCCCCGCCCTGGGCCCGGGGGCCGCCCCGCTGCCGGGACCCCGGGTCTCCGCGTCCCGGGATCCGCCGCGGGCTCCCAACGCGGAAGCGCCGGCCGCGCGTCATCTCCGCGCGCCGGAAGCTACGCGCCGACTTCCTGCCGCGGGGCGCAGCGGCCCCGCCTTCCTCTGGTGGCCGGGTGTAGAGAAGCGCGGCGAAACCCGGCGGCCGGGAGGACGGGCGAGCGCGGACGCGGAGGCGCGGCCTGGTTGTCGGCGGCGCGCTCCCCACCCACGTGGGCGCCTCGGACCCTCGCGTTTTAGCGCGGCTGCCGCCCGCCGCCACCCAACCTCCGGCCGCCAGCCGGTGCTCACGGCCGCCTGCTCTGGGCCAGGTGCTGAGTCGGCCCCAAAGCTTCCAAATTGAGCATGAAACAGCCCATCAGCTCTAATGGAGCCTACCTGTTGGAGTCACACGCAGAGATTCTGACTAGGGCAGACCTTACAGTTAAGAACCTGGACTTTGGAATTAGATAGCCTGGCTCCCTAGCTCACTTCCAGTGCGTATGGTCCAGTAACTTCAGGCAAAATCCTGAATCTCTTGTGTTCTAGTGTCCACAGTTGGTATAGAGTAACACCTACTCATGAAGTTGTTGCGGGGATGAAGTGAGAAAATCTATAACAAAGCATTTAGTGCAATGCCTAACATAGAAGTCAACATCAGCTATGATTGTTATTCATCAGATTGGGAGTGGGATCAGCCATCTGTGTGTTTAGAAAGCTCCATAGGTGCTTTCTATAGCATTGAGCCTAACAAAGGAGCTAATGAAGGATTCTTAAGTCAGGAAGTTGTTACTTGACTTGTTAGATCAAATTCTCGTTTTAGAAAAGTTAGTGACAAAGGGGGCGCCTGGATGGCTCATTCCGTTAAGCGTCTGCCCTCAGCTCAGATCATGATCTCAGGGTCCTGGGATGAGCCAGGATTAGGGCTCCCTGCTCAGCAGGGAGGGTGCTTCTTCCTCTCCCTCTGCTGCTCCCCCTACTTGTGCTCTCTCTGTCTCCCTCTCTCTTTGTCAAATAAAGTCTTAAAAAAAAAAAGCTAGTGACAACCTAGACTTAAGTCAGTCATAGCAATGCAACCTAGAAATGATGCAAGCTAGAACTAAGATAGTGGCCATGAGGTAGAGAGAATGGGACAGTTTCAGGAGATACTTGGAGTGCAGAATGGTAAAACTGGTAAGATGGAGACAGAGTGGGTAGGAAAAAGTGCTCGGTTTTCTGTCTTGGGCAACAGGGCGGTGCCATTTGGAGAAGGGAGTGGGGGAACAGGGACTGAGACCACAGGATGAAGCTGGGGAAATAATTAAGGGTAATTTTGAACATGTTGAAATTGAGGTCTCTGTGACATCACAAGAGAGATGACCAACAGTCATTTGGATGTATTAGTATAACGATCTACATAAAAAGCTGGGCAGAGCTACAGATCCAGAATCATCAGCAAGGTGAAATCACGAATGTGAATAATGTTACCAGAGGTTTCAAGTAAAAGGATTAGAAGAAGATGTGATCAGAGATTTGTGACAGGATATTTAGCCACCATTTTGGATCTTGAGGGATTATGGAGCCATGACCCAGGTCCCTGACCTGAGGATTTCATGGAGCAGAGCTGTACACCAGCCTTGAGCTACCTGCCTCTGGATGCTTATAAGAAAGAGAAATAATGTTGTCTTACCAAAGCCACTGTTTGCTTACCAAAACACAGGTGTTTTTCTGTTATTTGAAGCAGAATCTAATGTTAGCGGATGCAAGGACCAAGGCTAAAATAATCAATCTGCTTTTTGTAGTCTTATTTCAGATTCACCCTCAGACACACCCTTAGACCCTGAGTTCAGGTTTCTAAGTCCCCTTAGAAACAAACTTCCCCAGACACAGATTCGCTCCTCCAACACATACTAGCCTTTTCAGACACCCTCTCCTAAAACACTGACCTTCAATATACCTACCCACGCCTTTCTGCAAAACAAGTAGCCCCTTATATACACACATTTACCTCCTATTCTCATATTCTTACTACACCACTCCCTAACACAAAAATCTGGTCTTTTCCTGACTCACTGACACACATAGACACACCTGCCTCATTTCTCACTCTTTGACTCACACCGTATGACCCCTTAAGATACATGCACTGATCCCTCACTCACACTCATGGCTACAAATTTATTCATACCCTCAAATGCACACACACTCACTCTTATAGGTGCAAACCCATTGGCCGGAGACACACCTGGTTACCACACTCAAGCGGACACCCTCATTCCCTTATTCAGACACATTTGTTCTCTTTCATAATTTTATTTTTTTTTTAAGATTTTATTTATTTATTTGAGAGAGAGAGAAGGGGAGAGAGAGAGAGCATGAGAGAGGGGAGGGTCAGAGGGAGAAGAAGACTCCCCGCCGAGCAGGGAGCCCGATGCGGGACCCGATCCCGGGACTCCAGGATCATGACCCGAGCCGAAGGCAGTCGCCCAACCAACTGAGCCACCCAGGCGCCCCTCTCTTTCATAATTTTAGAGAAAGTATGCTGACCAGTAATGAGCTGGTAAATGTTTAACAACCCCCTCTCCAGGCTGGGAAGGAGGAGCTCTGATTTATAGCATTTGTCAATTTCCATGGTGTACTCTGGCCATGGCCAATTTCAAGCTACCAATGATTTTATGACCTTCTCACAAAATTCCTGACAATTTCACAATGGCCCTCAGAAGCGCTCAGCTCCAGGACACCCTGAATGCAGACCATCACACGTGCTGTCACTTGCTTTAAGTGACTCACGGGCCTTAGGCACAGGGTGGCTAAGAGCATGGGACTTTAATTCTCTACCTCATGGAGGCAGTGTAGTGCATGGTTAACAGCTAGTATGTTCAAGTGCTGTGATGAGGCTCTAGATGAGGTTTATAAAGAGCTGAGCACAATGCCTGGCCCATAGTAAGAACATTGTACAAATTTATTCTAAATAACCGTTTCTGATTCGCTCACCCCCAGAGACACCCAAGACTCCAGAAATAGAGAGCCAACTATCCCCAAGACAACCGGTCCCACCATAGAGAATCGCTAAACTATATCTTTTGAGCGAAGGCATGGTCTAAATTGTGTGGTATACACTCTCCAAACACAAGGAGTTTAGAGGAGAGGAAACCTAAAATGTCAGAGCTGGAAGAGATTGTACACGGGCAGCCTTCGGGCAAGTTCAGTTCTCAAAAGTGTTTTGTTTGGCCAGCAGAAAGCGTGTCTCTTCCATTTTCACAGTCCCCATCCTTCCCATTGTCTTACACCCTCCCCACTCTGCTCAGTTATGCCACTGGCCTAGCCCTTCAGCCAATCCAGCTTGCCACTCCCCGATTGAAAACTAATACCCTTGTATTTTTAAATTGAGGTTTAGGTGGGTAAATGATAAGCAAAGTTAACTTTTATTGACCATTGACTTTGTGCCAGGCACTATCTTAATTAATACTTCCTTCAACCATATGAGTCGGGTACTTCCAAATCTTTTCACAGACAGGAAACCCACTCAGAGAGAGGAACTAACTTGCCAAGTCACAGACCTAGCAAGTGATTTGAGTCTTTGAATCGAGGTGTGTTTGACTCGTGTCTACTAAAATATGACCAGATCAAGGGGAGAGAGGACATTCTAGGCAAGATAGCCCACGTGAAGGGGGTAGGAGACTTAGCCTTCTAAGGATACCAGGCATTGGGAGAAGGCAGTGGACTGAGGGGAGAGGGAGAGCTTTGAACGCTGGAAGATAAAGGTGTTGACTTTTGGACAAACTGAGTTGGCCCCTTTCCCTTCACTCCCACTCCCACGACCCTAGGGTAAGCCTGGAATCCTGCAAGAGGATTCTCTTAGCTGGTCTTCCTTTTCCATTGTCATCCCTGTTCATCTCGGTATATAACCCTCACTCATGATGGTTTGGGAACGAAATAGCTCTTCAAACCTGCCCCGGTTTAAGGATAAAATCCGAAAAGTTTTAACATGGCCTTTAGACCCTTTCTCTGCCCACCTGTCCAGCCTCTGTTTGTTCTAATCTCCCCGTTGCTAGTTTCGCTTTGTAAGAATAACACTGAGGTAATATTCATTAAGGCTCCCTTCATCTTTTGGCCATCTTATCCTCGCCATCTCACTCAGCTTGGATGTCACTTTCTCCAAGAGGCCCTGAGACTCCGCACTCCATCTAGATGAGGCTGCTCTGGGGGCGCCTGGGTGGCTCAGTCGTTAAGCGTCTGCCTTCGGCTCGGGTCATGATTCCAGGGTCCTGGGATCAAGCCCCACATCGGGCTCCCTGCTCAGCCAGGAGCCTGCTTCTCCCTCTCCCGCCCGCCCTGCTTGTGTTCCCTCTCTCGCTGTGTCTCTCTCTGTCAAATAAATGAATAAAATCTTTAAAAAAAAAAAAAAAGATGAGGCTGCTCTGTTCTTGTAGCTCTCTAGTCTTTCTTCACATGGCTTAGCATGTGACGTGATTCTTTTTTTGGGGGGGCGGGAGGAGCAGAGGGAGAGGGAGAGAATCTTAAGCAGGCTCCACACCCAATGCAGAGTCAGAGGCAGGACTCGATCTCATGACCCTGAGATCTTGACCTGAGCCGAAATCAAGATTTGGAGGCTTAACCAACTGAGCCATCCAGGCACCCCAGCATGTTACATGATTATTAATGTGTGTGTGTGTGTGTGTGTATAAGTTAAGGTCTGTCTCCATCACAGGACTGTAAATTCCTCAGGGACAGGGACTGTGCCCATTTCCTTGACTGCTGTGTTCCCAGTAGTTAGCACAACCCCTGCTTGTGTAACCTTCCATTAAGTGTTTGTAAATAGGTGAATTACAGATGTAGGTAGGAGATGTATCTCGTTTTCTTTTTTTTTTTTTTAAAGATTTTATTTATTTATTTGACAGAGAGAGACACAGCGAGAGAGGGAACACAAGCAGGGGGAGTGGGAGAGGGAGAAGCAGGCTTCCCTGCGGAGCAGGGAGCCCGATGTGGGACTCGATCCCAGGACCCTGGGATCACGACCTGAGCCGAAGGCAGTCGCTCAACCGACTGAGCCACCCAGGCGCCCTGTATCTCGTTTTCATTGGGTGGCATGCACACACAGACACACGTACATTAACAGTGCTCAAGTAGACATTTGAGCAAGTTTTGACAATGGGCACAAAGATTTATTTCAGCTTAAACTTGACTGGTTTGGATTCTCTTGGGTACCCTGGAGTGGAGCTGAGTCCTGAGTGAGCGAAGGGCAGAGTCCAGGCCTGAGCTGGGTTTGGTCTGAGTCACTGAAATCTGGGGAGGGTGGAAAGAGGAGGGGAAGTGATTGGAGAGTAGGGTCATTATCTACTCGGAGTCAGCAAAGTAAACTCATCCTGGCACCCAGCCATGGTTCAGCTGCTCCTACCTCCCAATTACCTTTTTAATTATAAGTAAGCAAAATAATTCTGAAAAGCACCCACCTCTCTATGGAGAATTTCTCATACTCTCCTCCATGGTTCTGGTCACATTCCTCTTTCCCTTCCTGCCCTCTGCAGGAAGCCATCCCAGATCTGTTCCCTCCATCCCTCCCTAGCTCGCCAGCAGCAAAGTCTGAAAATGTGTTTTGGTTTCCAAGCCTTGGTGTCTGCATCTTGAATGAGTGTTCTGTCTCACCCTTTAGGTAGATGGACCCCTTCGTGGTATTTAGCCATCCCTTGTTTCTGGGACATAATAGATTAAAGGACTTTCTGGCTGGTGAGATGGACCGATGAGACCAACAATGGCTATAGACGGGCAACATACCTCCAACTCCAGGGGCCATGGGACTAGGGTACAGAGGGAGAGCTGAGACCAGGATGGTCAGCTTAGCTCAGGTGGGCAGGGGAGGTGAGCGCAGCCTCTCACCCGGATGAGGAGACCCAAGGGTAAGCAGTAATGACAATGGCTGACATTACTGAACTCTCACTCCTCCCGGTTGCTCTCCGCTCTTTCCTCGGATTATCTTATTTAAACCTGACAACAATCCCACAAAGTGGTCTGAATAAGCCTTGTTTTCATGAGAACACTGAGGTTCAGAGAGGCTTATTAGTTTGCTAGCACGTGCTGGGGTGCCGATCTGAACCCATGTCCGGCCCCAAAGCTCAAGCTTGTAAGCACTGCGCAAGACGCCCAAAGCCACCCAACAGCCCCACCTGAGCCTGCAGACTTCCATCTGATCCACCATCCAGGCCAGCAGCTCTCGAATCAGTAAATCCTTGAGCAAATCTTCATCACTGGGCTTCTTGGGTAGGGAGCTGCCAAGGAGAAAGCCTCAGGCAGGCTGTTTGAGCCTGGGCCCCACCCGGAGTGAGTAAATACAGGGCCTGGGACTCCACAGGGCAGCTGGGTTGGGGGGAGCGAGTCAACACAGCTGCCTCTCCTTATCTCAGCTTTCAGAGCTCCACCCTGATCTGTGGGCCGCAACGCCGAACAGAATTCAGGTGGGAGACACCCCACCCGTCCACCTCTGTGAGCATCCCCGAATGCATTCCCCAAACCCAGGAGATGACTTTGGGGACATTCACTCTTTAGAATGGTCCACAGATTCCTCAGCTTCCTCAGATAGGGGGTAACTGATGTCAAGGGACTGGCCTTCAAAGGGTCCCTGTTCCTCAAACAGCCTTCCAGAGGTCTGTCGGGGAGAAGTGGGGAAGCCAGTTCCTGAGGTCTCCCTGACGTCTCTTTCGCTGCCCCTCTCCTTGACTCTGATTCTGCACACTAAAGTCATCAGTCTTAGGGAGTCTGGTCCCAAACCCCTCCTAGGACCCCAGCCCCTATTCCTCCTCCTCGGCTTCTCCCTTCAGCCTGGGCTGGCCTCCAGGAGTTTCTTGAAGACCCCTCTCTGAACTGGGAGTGGAGGGGGATGCTTATCTGGGGCCTTGCTCTGCTCTGGGGTCTGGGAGAGGGAACAATGAGGCCCTGCCCCCACCCCTTCCCTTGTGGGCTGACTCACCCCTGCTGCTCCCTCGCCTCCTCCTTCCTGTGAGATTGATGGGCCAGCTCCAGGGCCCCGGCGGCCTCCCTCTGGGTGATGTTGTGTTTCCAGCTGGTGAGGTAAAGACGCAGGAGTGGGTGGGGCTGGGGAGGCTCCAGATGTTCTCCAGTCCAAAGGCTCCGATCTTTCGGGACCTTAACCCAAGTTGCAGAGCAAACCTCTTTCTCCATTCAAACGTCCCACTGCTTGTCCTCAGCGGCCACTGTCCGACTTTTCATCATCTCCCACCACGCCGACCGAGCAGCCAGCACGAGGTAAGAGACTTGGCCGAGAGAAGGAAGGAGGACCAAGTCCGCAGTGGCCACCACTGCCAGGAGCATCTCAGCTCCCTCTGCCTTCGCCCCCAGCCCTGTGGGGCTCCTCTGGGAGCCCCGACCTCTTCCCTGATCCCTCTCCTTAGAAGAAAAGGAGTGGAGGGCGCCTGGGTGGCTCAGTTGGTTAAGCGACTGCCTTCGGCTCAGGTCATGATCCTGGAGTCCCGGGATCGAGTCCCTCATCGGGCTCCCTGCTCGGCGGGGAGTCTGCTTCTCCCTCTGACCCTCCCCCCTCTCATGTGCTCTCTCTCTCTCTCTCATTCTCTCTGTCCCAAATAAATAAATAAAATCTTTAAAAAAAAAAAAAGAAAAGGAGTGGAAAATTGCCTTGCGCCCCCCCCACACACACATACTGAGCAGTTGCCTGAGCCCTGGTCAGGGCCACCGTGTCGCCCAGCTCACCATCGGTGCCTCAGTGAAAGGCACCATGTGGGGCTGGGAGGCGCCGGCCCGCGTGGCCCGCGTGGCATCCAGTGTGCCCGGAGGTACAGCCAGCCCCGGGCTCCGGAGGGAGTGTGTGCTTCGACTCACTCATTCTTCTTCCCCTTCTGCGCCAGCAGCCAGTTCACAAAGTCTTGTTGGCGGATCTTGTCCATGGCAATGCTGTAGTCACTGATGAAGGTCCCCTCAGCATACCTGGGGCCTCGAGGTCGGGAGCCACTGACCTTAGAGTGGCCTCTGAGGGGCAGGGAGAGGGAGAGAGAAGCCAGGACAAGGCAGGAGGGGCAGGGGGTGAGGGGAAGCACAATGCAGGGGCAAGTGGTTGTCACCGACAGGAGGCCAGTGTCTGAGAAAAATGCCCTGGTTTCCTGGGAGTCCGTTTTTATGCAAACCCTCTCTTGTCTCTGCATCAAGCCCCTGGGACTTTATCCTCAGCTTTAGAACCCACTTCCTGCATTCCTTGGTGTGTGTGACTCCGGCTTCGGGGCAAAGAGGGATCAGGGGTCCCCCTCATCCCAAAGGACTGATCTCAGTTCCCTCCTTTGCTCCTCTTGCCTGGCCCACCCCGATTCGAGGCTTTGTTCCCAGTCGATAGGAACAAGAGTGAGCTCCTCCATAACGGCCCTCACTGTGTGGCAGGTCCTCTGTAAGCCCTTTACTACACAGACTCATTTGGCCCTCATCACCCCTAGGAAATAGACACTGTTTCTACGCCCTTTTTGTGATTGAGGAAACCAAGGGGCAGAGAGATTCATCTAGCACATCTCTTAGGTGGCAGATCCAGGAGTTAGCCTCAGGCGGTCCGGGCCCAGGTCTAAGTGCGCAACCTCTGATGTTGCCCCAACTTGCAACGGTCTCACGGCCATGCCTCCCATCTAACAGGATGCAACAGATGGACCACATGGCTAGTTCCTGCATCCGACAGGGCGCAGCTCTTTACTCAGACAAGTCTCTCGGTCCTCCAGAGCACAGAGCCCCCTGCTCCATGCGTTCATGACACTCTGCTCCCCCCCCCCCCCCGAAGCGCTCAGGACAGTTTGCAACTCGCCTAGGTGGTTCTTTGTTTCCCCCTGGGGCCCGTGTGTTCCACGAGGCATTTGTGGACCACTCAGCACTAATATATCTCCTGTGGCTGGCGCGCAGGGGGCCCTCTCCACAATTTGATCAAATGCACACATAAATGAACGGTTAAGGCTTTCCTTAGGAAGGGAGATCCTGTCATCTACTTCAGACACTTAACCACTGAGAAGTCCTTCCAGAGATCTAACCACAGTCTCTCCTGTGGCAACAATAGCTCGTAATAAATACTCTCGGGTTCTGTCCTCACTCTGCACACAGACGCTGGCTGGTTTTCCCCTCCGGCTTCTTTCCTCTTGGCCTGGGATTCCTCCCTTTCCCACCTCTCCCCCGGAGAACCAGAACCCGGTCATCCTCCCTTGTGCCCAACCCCTCCCCTGCAGCCCTACCTGGAGTGACCCTCCGCCTTCTCTCCCAGCACCACTGCCAGGAGCAGGGACCCCAGCAGGAGACCGAAGATCTTCACGGCCACCATCTTCCAAAGGTGATTTCCTGAGCAAAGAGAGAAAAGGGACCGGGCTGAGGGAAGCACCGTGCTCAGGGATAGTCAGCATGGCCAGCCACGTCCCGCTGACGCCTCAGAGCATGTGTGGGTTCTGGAAGCTGGGGGCATTGAGCTCTGGACGAGGGCAGCGGGGGCAAGGTCCAGGCGGAAGAAAGCAGCCAAGACCCGTGGGCCTGACAGCCCCCTTCCCGGCTCCGGTGGCTGGACCTCACTGGCATGTGGTTTGGCGAGTCTCCCCTTAGAGCCTCCAGAATCCATAGCAGCCTGCCTTCCAGCTGTCGGATTGGAGGTCACCTAAACCATCACAGCCCTCTTGCCCCAAGTGAAAGCCACAAGTAGGACCATTCCATCCTCTCCTTCTCGGGCTTCACGCTCTCTGCTCAGGGAAGCTCTTTCCAGGGTGCCCCTGCAGGAAGACGGGGTCCGGCAGCCCAAACATGGCTAGGTCTAGCTTTGGTTTTCAGGGCTTGGGAGGAAGGTTCCTTACTGCTCTTCACCCTACTGAAGACCCCCTGGATGAAATGGGCTCAGACCTCGTTTGTCCTCCTGCCTTTGTCACCTGGGTGTTACAGGAATGCTGAGAGCTGCTTTCTTATCTCTCACGTAGATTGCCTCTCCGGTACCCCCTCCATCCATCCTCTGTCCAGGCCGCTCTCTTACCTGGCTTCCTTCCTGGCTCTTCCAGAAAGACAGGGCAGGGGTTTCTTCCTCCTACCTTCTGGTCCTTTGGAGCCTGTCCCAAGAAAGTCGGCTGTAGCTCCTTTATACCCAGGCATCACAGACCTGCTGATTAGCCTAAAAGCGCCTTATCTCAAGAAATTAGGTCCACAGCTCCCGCCACATTAAGTCCATTTTACGCGTAATAAAGTTGCCCTTTCCACCTGAACTGTGCTAATTGATGATTAACATTTGGGTATCTCCAGTTGCCCGGGGGGTAGGCCACTTTAAGTGTCCCCTTTCTTCTCCCCCCCTCCTCCCACCTGAGCATGGGGCCCCGTATTCTTCTAGCCCTACTTCCTTTACAGGTGTCCTCGGTTAGAAAGGGTGCCTTAGGTCCGGTGGCACTCGCTGGGGTAGGACTGCTCCCACAGGCAAGAGGCTGCCCCTGGGTCCGAGAAAGTGGGGCACAGTCGTTGGAAACCCAGCTCTGGATAGTGGCCCCCAGCTTTGGCAGTGTGGCAATGTCCCCATTGCAAAATCTAGGAGAGTATCCCAGCCGGCTGGGGAAAGGGCTGGAGAGTGAGAGGGTTGAGGGACCATGAAGGATGGGGGTTTCCTGGGGTAGCTGGGAACTGCGAACTTGCAGTCAAGCTGCCTTTCTGCATAGGGGCAGGATAGAGTGGGGGAAAGAAGTACTTACCCCTTGGGAACTTGAAGGAAGATGGGCAGCTACAATTCTATCTGTAAAGGTTTATGACACCCAATGTGGACTTGTCTGTGCCAACAGACTGGGGGACCCTGAGGTCATGCTGTGCCTGTCAGACTGGGGGCTCTCCAGCGTGGGGGCTTTGTCTCCCGGATCAGACTGGGGGCTCTCTGAGATCAGGAGTGTGAACCGGGGGGGCTATCATTCCCCATCCTACGGAAGCTTCTGGAGGCTAAGGGCCATGTCTGCCCCTTAGACTGGAGACTCCTCAAAGTACTGCGTCTGCCTTTCTCCAAGCGCTTAGTACACATGTCTGTCCTCAGGGCTCAGTCTAGAAGGGACAGGGTGGAAGCTGCATTTGGGGCTGATCCCTAAGGCCGCCTTCCCAGGCTCTTCCTTCTCCACTCACCGGAGTGCTCTGAACCAGCAACAACCAAGCTCATGCTCCGCTTATTAGCTCCAGGGTCTAATAAAGGCCACTTTCCAGGTAAACTCTGGGGCCAGGAAGCAGCTCCAGCATGAAATTAAGTGCTTGTGTGGGATGAGAGGTCGCTGGACCAGGGGGGGCAATTCACCTCTGCTTCCTAGAAACCTCGCTCACCTACCACCCATTTTTTACCGTCTAGAAAAACTTCTCTCCGGGCAAGCTCTCCAAATTCCATCTCCTGGCTATCCATGGCAGTGATTAGACGTCATTTCAGATTTGGCCTCCAAACGGGATGTGGGGGTGTTTGTGATCCTGCTTCCTGTTGAGCGACAGTTAATGGGCTCAGAAGTGTTTGTGTCAAGACCTGGGCACCCCTGCCTGGAGGCACAAGGTTATCCAAGAAGGGTGTACATCATTCCCTGGAAACCCTAGGTCTGATGCCAAACCAGAGTCAAGAAGGTTCTGGAATGGGTCCCTGCAGCTCTGAGTGCCTGCCTGGTGCTCTGGGGATTTGTTTTGGGGGCAGGCTGCTCCGAAGGCCAGTTTTATTGCTTCAAATTCTCAGCCCACCCCCTCTCAGCAGCCCCCCAACCTGTTTCCCTTTGATCTTTGGCTCTCAGGCCCTGCGGTGGACACACCAAGGAGAATGTAGCCTGGGCCCTGGGAGAGGAAGGAATGTGGGGGGGTCAGGGGAGGAGATCAGAGAAGATGCCAGATGCTCAGGGGAGCCCACAGCCCCCACCCCCAGAGCATCTCAGGAGCTGGGGAATGGAAAAGACGGCCTTCTGAAGTTTCTAGGGATCGGAAGGGCCTGCTGGACTTGATAAAAATAGTTCAGTAAATCTACTGGCAACTCCACCAACCTGTCTGCACCATGAGAAGTGCCCTAGTGTGCAGGGCTGGGGACAGGGAGGGGGCTCTGGCAGACCCTTAGTCCATTGGGGCGAATTTCCAGGATGTGAGGGGTCAGAGAGGTCACAGGGGATGGGAAAGCAAGAGGAAGCCCGGATACAAAGGCCAGTGGCCCAGACAGGTGGAGAGAGTGGGGGTGCATGAGGGGCGTCTGGGACACATGGAAGCCAGGCAATCAGCCCAAGAAGGGACCATGGCAGTATTGTTGCCAGAGAACCCCGGGGTCCTGCTTCCCAGACCCTCCCGACTTCTGACCGGGGCTCCAGGATGAGAACTGGCACAGCAGAAGAGCCTGTGGGGCTTGCTGCCTCTGCCAGCTCCCGGCGGTGACTCACCACCCCTGCCACAGCCCGAGGGCCACAGCAGACATTCTAGGCCAGGGTGACTCAGAGGGCCGGCTGCAGCCGGGGGGACTCTGCTTCGGAGGTTCACTTGGTCTTCAAGCTCCCCGGCTGACTCAGAAGGCGGACATCCCTCTCTGAGCTCTCCTACACCAGGTGGCAGATTTATACTCTTCTCCTGCAGAGGAGACCGAGGGACAAACTTTGCTGAGTCATCGGGTCTATCCTGGATTCCTAGAAGGGTCACCTCCAGCTTTCCTCCCCAGTCATGTCGCAAACCCAGTCGTGGTCCCAAACATTTTTGCCCACATCAGCCCCAAGACCCCTCAGACCAAGATACTGTTCAGAGAGATCTTTAAGAAAGAATATGCTTAGTAAGATTATACTAACTTTGTATGGTGACAGATGGTAACTACATTTATGGTGGTGAGCATTTTGCAACGTATAGAATTGTTGACTCACTATGCGACTTACCCCCAACAAATATAATATGTCAACTACACTTCAATTAAAATAAAGAAATAAAACTCTCCACTAAAAACAGGGAAGAGCGGCGCCTGGGTGGCTCAGCCGTTGGGCGTCTGCCTTTGGCTCAGGTCATGATCCCAGGGTCCTGGGATCGAGCCCCACATCAGGCTCCCTGCTCCACGGGGAAGCCTGCTTCTGCATCTCCCACTCCCCCTGCTTGTGTTCCCTCTCTCGCTATGTCTCTCTCTGTCAAATAAATAAATAAAATCTTTAAAAAATAATAAAAAATAAAAACAGGGAAGATACTACCTACAACCTCTCTTGGCCATCTGCTATAAGGAATCAGTTTGGAAGTCCCCTCTCAGTTCTAACCCCAATCCCTCTTGCTGTTTTCAAAGTCCATATTTTGTCTGCTTTTGTTCATCAAGAAAAGAGCTCAGCCCTTAGTAGCTGCGACCTAATCCATGGGAAGAGAACTGTGGGCAGTGTTAGAACTGGGAGGGGTGGCCACACGGCTCTCACTTCCAGAGAGGGCAAGAGCTAGTGGTGCATTTAGGGTGAAGGCCAAAGGGCCGGGAGTCCCAGAGAAAGTAGCGTTCCTGACCCCTTATCTGTCCTGTGGGAGAACCTCCTAGGGGAGGGCTGGGTGGGATGAGAAGAGAGGGTTTCCCCTTCCTTTTCCCTGAATGGGGACAGCTTCCAGCGTCCCCAGTGAGGCCCCCCACCACACACCCATTCCTGTGATGGGTATGGGGACGACCTTCTGCAACCTCAGCAACCACACCCTTCTTTAAGGAGACTAGGCAGTAGCCCGTGGGGTGGAGGAGCAGGTGTTCAAGCCCCAGCTCCGCCCGCCAGCCACTGCCAGGTGAGGTTTGGATTGGGGCAAAGCCCTTATCCAATCTGAGCTTTGAGTTTGCCCATCTCTGAATTGGAGATAAGAAAACAGAATCTGGGGGCATCTGGCTGGCTCATGCGATGCTTGATCTCAGGGTGGTGAGTTCAAGCCCCACGTTGGGTATGGAGCCTACTTAAAAAACAAACAACCAACAAACCTCCCTTCCCCCCCAAAAAAGAAAACCAGAATCAGTCCTCCCTACCTCATAGGTAAGTGTGACAATAATGTCTTGTTAACCTGAAGGCATCCTACCAGTGTTGGTGGGTGGTATTCTCTACAATGATCTCCACCTCACTCTATGGTGAGCATTTGGTAAGATGAAAAAACAAAGCCAGGCTAGGACGCCTGGGTGGCTCAGTCGGTTAAGCGTCTGCCTTAGGCTCAGGTCATGATCTCAGGGTCCTGGGGCCGAGCCCCCCAGGCCAGCTACCTGCTCAGCGGGGAGTCTGCTTCTCCCTTGCCCTTCCCTCTCCCCCTACTCATGCTCACGCGCGCTCTCTCTCTCTTTAAAACAAAACAAAACAAAACAAAACAAAACAAAACAAAACAAAACAAAACAAAACCCAGGCTGACTCTGCCCCTCACCTGGTACAGGGAAGGCTTGTGAAATTCCCTGTTAGGGGTGAGGGCTGTGCAGACAGACCCGCTGATGTTACTAGCGGGGTGGGTGATTTAGAGTAACCTGCTCTTTCTGTGCTGTGGTTCCCATTTCTGTAAAATGGGAGTGTAAAGTTCCTACATCAAAGAATTGATTTGGGGGAGCACCTGGGTGGCTCAGGCAGTTAATCAGCTGCCTTTGGCTCAGGTCATGATCTCAGGGTCCTGGGACTGAGCCCTGAGTCAGGCTCCCTGCTCAGCGGGGACTCTGCTTCTCCCTCTCCCTCTTACCCTCCCCCTATTCATGCTCATGACCTCCCTCTCTCTCTCTTTCTCTCTCTCTGTCTCAGATAATGAGAGACAGAATTGGTTTGGGAAACAAGTATACTGAGCAGATACATTGTGTTACACTGTATCTTGATACATTAGTGATCTTTCGCTGGGTAACAAATCACTCCAAACTTTAGCAGTGTAAAGCAACAGAGCATTCACTCTCTCACACAGTTTCTGAGGACTGGGAATCTGGCAGTGGCTTAGCTGGATGCTTCTAACTCAGAGTCTTCATGAAGCTGAAGTCAGCTGTTGGCCGAGTTGCAATCTCAGAAGCCTGGGGCTGTAGATCACCTTCCAACCTTGTTCCCACGACTGTAGGCTGAAGGCTTCAGTTCCTCACCATGTGGACCTCTCCACGCTTCTTCCCTCGGAGCAAAGTCATGCACCTAAGATGAAAGTCTAAGTGAAATTCAGAAATGACATACCATCCCTTCAGCTTTATGCTATTGGTCACATAGATCAACCCTGGTATGATGTGGGAGGGACCACACAAGGCTGTGAATACCAGGAGGTAGGGATCATTGGGGGCCACCTTAGAGGTTGGCTACCATATACATAATCTGCCCTAAAAAATATGGACCATTATTGTTATTATTACAGAAGGTGCTAGATTCATGAGACATTTCTGTTCATCGCCATGAACTCTGGTCATTTAATATCTACTTATATTTATCTCAATCCCCTTCTCTCTGCAAGAGTGAGAATTGAGATGATTTTATATACAGAAGACAGATAAAGCAAGAAATTTCTCTAATATTCCACAAAGACCAGCAGAGTACAGATATCAAAATGAGTATATTCTAAGACAGTCCTTGCTAGTTAGGCAGAAAATACTGCATGGGACATACTTACACTAAAAAATTGTTTTTAGGGGCACCTGGGTGGCTCAATCAATTAAGCATCTGACTCAAGTCATGGTCTGGAGGTACTGGGACTCAGCCCCCCGACTCCTGTTGTCAGACTCTGCACTCAGTGGAGTCTGCTTTCCCCCCTCCCTTGCCCCTCCTCTGATCATTCTCTCTCTCTCTCATAAATAAAATCTTTTTTTAAAAAAAAATGTTTTTAACTTGTTGTTTATCTGAAATTCAAATTTAACTGCACATCTTGTACTGTTATTTGCCATCTCTGGCATCCTGGCCTGGAAAGCTTTTTAAAATCCCCATGGCTTGGGGCGCCTGGCTGCCTCAGTCAGTAGAGCATGCGACTCTTGATCTCAGGGTTGTGAGTTTGAGCCCCACACTGGGTGTGGTGCCTACTTAAAAATAAAATAAAATAAAATCCCAGTGCCTCAGCGCCATCCCCAGAGATTCTGATGTCATTAGCCTGGAGATTTTTTAAAGCTTTCATTTTATTTTTTTATTTTTTAAAATGTTTTATTTATTTATTTATTTGTCAGAGAGAGAGCACAAGCAGAGAGAGCTGCAGGCAGAGGCAGAGGGAGAAGCAGGCTCCCCGCTGAGCAGGGAGCCCGAAGCGGGGCTCAATCCCAGGACCCTGGGATCATGACCTGAGCCGAAGGCAGACGTAAAGCTTTCATTTTAAAATAATTTAAAACTTACGGGGAACTTGCAAAAGTAATACAGATACACCAACTACCCACAGATACACCGATTTTTAGCATTTTGCCACTTTGTTCTATCATTCCATTATCTTATAAACATATGAAAGTCAATTATATACATTATGTTCCTTTACCACTTCATATTTTCATGTATATTTCCTTTTGTCTATGTGTGTGTGTGTGTGCATGTGTGCGTGTGTGCAGAAAGGTGATTTTATTAAAGCACGGGGACAGGACCAATGGGCAGAAAGAGCTGCTGCCCCATGTGTATTTCCTAAGAACAGGGAGATTCACACACATAACCACAATAAGTACAATGATGAAATTCAAGAAGTTTAACATTGATATAAAGCATATAGTCCATATTACAAGTTTTTCAATTGTCCCAATAATGTCTTTTGGGGTATTTCCCCTTCTTTATCAGATTCAGTCCAGGATCACATATTGCATTTGTCATGTCTCTTATTTTCCTTTAACGGTTTCTCTCTCAGCCTTTGTCTTTCATGATACTGACTTAAAAGAATAAAAGACTTTGTTTATTTATTTGAGAGAGAGAGAGCATGAGCAGAGGGGCAGGGAGAGGCAGAGGGAGAAGGAGAAGCAGACTTCCCACTGAGTAGGGAGCCCAATGCAGGGCTCCATCCCAAGACCCTGAGATCATGACCTGAGTCGAAGACAGATGCTTAGCTGACTGAGCCACCCAGGGGCCCCTACATTGACATTTTTGAGGGTACAGGCCAGTTATGTTATCGAATGTTTCTTAATTTGGCTTTGTCTGCTCTTTCTTCCCTATTAAATTCAGGTTATGCCTGGTGGCCAGAATACCATATAAAAATTAGTGTGTCCTTTTCAAGATATTGCACGTGGAGGCACAAGATGTCTACCTGCCCATGATTGATGATAATTTTGACCACCCAAAGTTTTGTTGGATTTTTCCACTGTATAGTTACTATTTACCTCCTTATAATTAATAAGCAATTGACAGGGAGACACTTTAAGACAATCTAAATACCCCTTTCCTCATCAGACTTCCCCATCCTCAGATTTATTTAATAACTATTGATCCTTTTTTTTTTTTTTAAGATTTTGTTTATTTATTTGAGAGACAGAGACACAGAGAGAGAGAGCATGCGCAGAAGATTAGGGAGAGAGGCAGAGGGAGAGGGAGAAGCAGACTCCCGGCAGAGCAGGGAGGCCGACGCGGGGCTGAATCCCAGGACCCCGATATCACGACCTGAGCCGAAGTCAGACACTTAACTGACTGAGCCACCCAGGCTCCTCACGACCACTGATTCTTGCTTGAAGAAATGAACCGATCTTCACTACGATGATGGAAAATGGTTATTTTCCAATTCACCACTCCCTCCACAGTATAGAGGTTTTTAAAAACAGCATTATCAAGGTATAACGGACACATCATTAACTGCACATATTTAATGTAAAGTGTATAATTGATGTTTTAACATATGTCTTCTCCCATGAAACCATCATTACAATCAAAGTAGTGAATATTGGGACACCTGACTAGCTCAGCAGGTAGAGCAGGCAACTCTTGATCGTGGGGTAGTGAGTTCGAGCCCCATGTTGGGCACAGAGCTTACTTAAAAAAAAATTGGGGCACATGGGTTATGCAGTCATTGAGCGACCGAGTCTTGATCTCTGCTCAGGTCTTGATCTTAGGGTCGTGATTTCAAGCTCTGTGCCTACTTAAAAAAAAAAAAAATTAAAAAATAAAGTAGTGAACATATCTACCATCCCCCAAAATTTCCTTGAGCCCTTTCTCTCCTGCTCACGTCTTCCAACCGCTGACCTGCTTTCTGTTACTATAGATTAGTTTGTATTTTCTAAACTTTTATACAAATGGAATCATACAGTATGTATTCTTTTTTGTCTGGTTTCTTTCATTCAGTATACTGATTTTGAGATTCAGTTGTAGCATGAGCAACAGTCTTTTTTTATTGCTGAGAAAGATTCTTCTATCATATGAATATATTACAGTTTGCTTATCAATTTACCTGTTGATGGGACATTTAGGTTGTTTCAAGTTTTTGCTATTACAAATAAAGCTGCTGTGAACATTTGTGGACAAGTTGTTTTATGGACATATGCTTTCCTTTTTCTTGAGTAAATACTGAGGATTGGGATATGTTTAACTTCTTAAGAAACTGCCAAACTGTTTTCCTTTCTTTTTTTTCCCAGGGGCTCAATAAAAACTTTTAATTATACTTCAGAGATTTTGTACAATGCGACAGTGGACGCCCACTGTTAATGTTCACAAGTCCACATTATCAAACATCAACTGCAACAAAAATATGGATTGCTTCACAAATTTGTGTGTCACCCTCATGCAGGAGCCATGCTAATCTCTTCTATATCATTCCAATTTTGTTTTGTTTTGTTTTTATTATTTTTTATTCTTATGTTAATCCCCATACATTACATCATTAGTTTTAGATGTAGTGTTCCATGATTCATTGTTTGTGCATAACACCCAGTGCTCCATGCAGAATTATCATTCCAATTTTTTTAAAAGATTTTATTTATTTATTTATTTGACAGAGAGAGACACAGCGAGAGAGGGAACACAAGCAGGGGGAATGGGAGAGGGAGAAGCAGGCTCCTGGCTGAGCAGGGAGCCCGATGCGGGGCTGGATCCCAGGACCCTGGGACCATGACCTGAGCCGAAGGCAGATGTTTAACGACTGAGCCACCCAGGCGCCCCTATATCATTCCAATTTTAATATACGCACAGCTGCAGTGAGCACTGCAAACCGTTTTCTGAAGTGGTTGTAACATTTGATGTGTGGAATGTTTGTTCACATTTTTCACCCATTTTGGGGGTAGAGGGTTGTTTGTGTTCTTGATACTGAATTTTGAGAGTTCTTTACATATTTTGGATACAAGTCCTTTATGAGATGCCTGATTTACAAAATATTTTTCTCCCAGTCTGTGGCTCGTCTTTTCATTCTCTTAATGGTTACCTTCTAGAGGCAAGAGGGTTTTGTGTTTTTTTTTTCCTTTTTGAAATTTTGATAAAGTCCTATTAATCAATTTGGCTTTTTGAATTTTGCTTTTGGTGGCATATCTTAAGATATCTTTGCCTAACTCAAGGTCACAAAGGTTTTCTCCTAGAAGCCTTATAGCTTTTGGCTTTACAGTTAGTTATATGACCTAAATGATTAAAGTACATGATTGAGTTATTTTTTGTATATAGGATGGGATGTGGAAGGAAATTTATTTTTTGCATTTGAATATCCAATTGTTTCAGCACTATTTGTTGAAAAGATTATCCTTTCTCTGTTGAGTTGTCTTTACACCTCTGCATAAAATAAGTTGTGATAGGGGTGCCTGGGTGGCTCAGTTGGTTGAGCATCTGACTCTTGATTTGTTCAGGTCATGATCTCAGGGTCCTAGGATCGAGCCCTATGTTGGGCTCTGCACTCAGCGAGGAGTCTGCTTGAGGATTCTCTCTCTCCTTCTGCACCTCCCCCTGCTATTTCTCTCTCAAATAAATGAATAAATAAATCTTAAAAAAAAAATTAAATTGTGGGGCTCCTGGGTGGCTCAGTAGGTTAAGCATCTGCCCTCGGCTCAGGTCATGATCCCAAGGTCTTGGGATCAAGCCCCATGTCGGGCTCCCTGCTCAGCCGGAAGTCTGCTTCTCCCTCTCCCTCTGCTGCTCCCCCTGCTTGTGCTCGCTCTCTCTCTCTCTGTCAAATAAATAAATAAATAAAATATTTTTTTAAAGTCTAAATAAATAAATAAATTGTGATATATGTGTGGGTTGTACTAGAATTTTTGTTTATTTATGTTTTAAGAAGATGAAGAGTTGCATGCTCCATGGACCAAGCCAGCCAGGCGCTCCATGCACTAGGATTTTTAAATGCTGCACTTACATAAGGGCAAGAACAAGGACTTGGGATCCAGGACAATCAGGCTGGAATCCTGGTTTTGCTGCTTATCTGTGGCATAGTTGATACAAAGTAGAAACCATGAAGCTACCCACCTTGGGTGTTTACCACATTTTACAACATCCTCTCTCCTTTCTTTTCTTTTCTGCTCTTCTCCTGGGCATAGCGCTGGAACCGGGAAAGCTGGTCCTAAGGAATGTTTCTCTAACCCTAGGCTCCCCAGATCCAGGATCTAAGAAGGAAGGAAAGAAAATGTAATGGGCACAGTAGTATCCATAAACTATTTTCAGTCAGTTAGGATATCTCATGCAAATCAGACATTTGCTCCAGGCGAGGCTGTATGGGCAAATTCCAATTCCAAGTCCCTTTACTTTTGGTGGGAATAGTATAACTTCTTGCCACTTATGTAGAAGCTCTGCTTAGCCACTCACTCTGAGAACAATTTATTACTTGGTCATTGGAATTTTTTGATAGGCAACCTTTTTCAAAACACTGGGCTCATGGAAAAATAATAAAGGAGATCTTAGTTGATGAACATAATGGAAACGACTCACTTAGAGAAAGGAAACAACATGGATACTGCCCCGAGGTTTCCAGTGTGCTGAAAGGCGTGATCTCACAAGAAACTCCCAGACTGATGAGGCAGAAATGGGCTTCAGCCTTAGAGGTTTCCAGTGAATGTACACGAAAACAAAAAAGCTCATGCATGGGAGTTGAAAGGAGCAGTATATCAGCAAGATCCAGGACAGACTGGGCAGGTGTGAATCTGCGTGCTTGGTTCCTGTTTACCATGCTGGTCCTGAGTTTCAGTACACACCATCTCAGTTTATTATGAATACATGTATAATTAATCAGACCTTTAGCTAAAGTCAAGCCACATCCGTGATTGATCAGGGTGAGTTGCAGTTAACCCTCAACCCTGGTCGCTAATGGAAGATTTCTGGCTGCCTCTAATCTTGGAAGAATGGATGATCCAAAACTATTCCCTATTTGGTTTGTAAAGGTATTCCAGGGTGATTCATTTGAACATCCATTTGACTTTTTTTAAGTTTGTTATAAAAACGTAATAGTCTAGAAATCTTGAAAAATATAGTAGAGTCAAGAAAGAGAGAAACGGGGAGAGAGAAAGGGAGAGAGAAACAGACAGGAATAGAGAGAAATCCACTAATCTTCTCAAAACCAGAGAGTTATTATTAACAGTGTTTTCCAGACTTTTTATTATTTCAATTAATTTTTGTTATGAAATATTTATACTTAAGAAAGATAACGTAAACCATACATGTACAGCTTAAAAGAATAAGTAATAAAATACTTGTGTAGCTACCGCTCAGATTGAGAACTAGAACATCCATCCCCAATATCTTTGAAGTGCCCTGTGAGCCCCTCCACAATCATCCCTATGCTACTTCCCGGAATTAACCACATTCTGGAATTTTGTTTATCATACTCGTCCCTCTTTCCTTTCCTTTCCTTTCCTTTTTTTCTGCAGGAAGCTTTATTGTTTCCATTTGGTCCATGGTTTGGGAGAAGGCTCCAAGGTGGTTAAAAGCCGCCTAGCAGTGGCAGGGCTCTTCCTTTTCTTTAAAGTTCAACCTCTTCTGGATGCATCCCTAAACAACACAATGTTACTTTTGCATATTCTTGAACTTCTATAAACAGAACCATTATGTGCATATTCTTCAGTCTCTGGGTTTTTCTTTTTGTTTATTGGTCAGAATTGTGAAATTCACTCACGTTGATACACATGGCAGAAGTTCCTTTATTGTGACTGTCTCCAGATTCCATTGTAGGACTATACCCAGCTTTGCTTATCCATTCTCCTTGGAGATGGACATTTGTAGGGTTTCTAGGTTTTGTTATTGTAAACAATTCTGCTATGAATATTCTTGTACACATTCTGGGTATCCATATGCAAGAGTTTCTGTAAGGTAATTTCTTGTCTTTAATGTACTTGTAGCTTTTCTCATTGTTGTTAAGATTGGTCCAGTCATACAGACTATATGAGCACAAATACTAAATTTTGTGATGTGCTTTTTTTTTATAAACGTCCCCTAAGTTTTTCTAAACCCCTTTCTGACATAATTTTTTTTTTAAAGATTTTTATCTATTTATTTACTTTTGCGAGAGAGAGGGAGAGTGCGTGCCTGTGCACAAGTGGGGGGAGGGGCAAAGAGAGAGGGAGAAGCAGGTTCCCCACTGAGCAGGGAGCCCAATGACGGGCTTGATCCCGGGACCCCGGGATCATGACCTGAGCCAAAGGCAGACGCTTAACCAACTGAGCCACCCAGGCGTCCTGGACATAATTTTTAATGGCTGCATAATATTTTACCAAATGGCTATGTTTGAAGTTATTTGAAGATTTCCCTGTTTGTAAGCATTTATATTGCTAACAGTTTTTTTTTCCTTAACAGTGATAAATAACATTTTTGTTCAGTTTTTTGTTGTTGTGATATTTTGAAAAGGCTAAAATTTTTGTTTTAAAAAATCATGGTATTAAAAAAAAATCATGGTAAAGGTCGGGCTCCCTGCTCAGCGGGGAGTCCCGCTTCTCCCTCTGCCCCCGCAGTTGCAAGCGTGCTCGCTTTCTCTCTCTAATAAATAAATAAAATCTTTAAAAAATGGTAAAATATACATAACACGGGCGCCTTGGTGGCTCAGTTGTTTGACCTGCTGACTCTTGATTTCAGCTCAGGTTGTGATCTCGGGGTCCTGGGATGGAGCCCCGAGGTCTGGCTCTGTGCACAGCGGGGTGTCTGCTTGGGATTCTCTTTCTCCCTCTCCCTCTGCCCCTCCTGCTTGTTCTCTCTCTCGCAAATAATCTTTAAAAATAAATACATACAATTTTTAATTTTAGGGGCGCCTGGGTGGCTCAGTCCTTAAGCCTCTGCCTTCGGCTGGGGTCGTGATCCCAGATCCTGGGATCGAGCCCCAAATCCAGGTCCCTGCTCTGCGGGAAGTCTGCTTCTCCCTCTCCCACTCCCCCTGCTTGTGTTCCCTCTCTCGCTGTGTCTCTCTGTCAAATAAATAAATAAAATCTTTAAATTTTAAAAAAAATTTTAGCTATTTTTAAGTGTTTTAAGATTCAGTGGCATTAAGTATATTTACATTGTTGTGCAACCATCCCAGTATCCATCTCCAGAACTTCCTTCTCTTCTCAAGTTGAAACTCCATACACTAACTCCCCACTTCACCCACTCCTCCCAAGCCCTGGTAAGCATTATTCTACTTTTTGCCTCTATGAATCTGACTATTCTAGGTATCTCATACATATTTATCCTTTGTACCTGGCTTATTTTACTTAGCGTAATGTTTTCAAGGTTCCTCCATGTTGTAGCAGGTATCAGAATTTCCTTCTTTTTTAAGGCTGAATAAAATGTTCTATATACTGGATTTTTGTTAGAAAAATTACTCAAAAGTGCAACTCCTAAGTCAAATAATATGAATTTTTAAAGGTTTTTGTTGCCTTAAAATCCTTCTTCCACACAGCCATATGGAAT